TTCAAAACTTCTCAGTACAGCCCTAGCCCCCTTCCCCCAAATCACTTTCAGCATAACCTGCTACTGCTAGCATCAGTTTACTAAGCTTATTAAAATTGCTATCGATGACAGACACTTCTGTATCTGCATCAAGATGACTGTTCATAACTGTTTTCTGTGCCACAGTATGCACTGACAAGAATTACTAATGTTACATAATATAAAGCCTTCCCAAAATTCACTGTTCTAAAAGCAGTCATGTACCACTCGATCAACTCAAAGTCAGAATGAGAATTACCTGAAACAGTTTCCCAAACCTAACCAAGTCGGATGAATTTGATTGTTGGAACCTAACATTATAGTTGCTAAAATTGCTTGAGATTTCTAATCTATTTTTATGTCCTTTTTATACATTTGATCAGATTTATGTTCATGTCAATGTATGTATTGTATTAACCTAAAGAAAGTATTAAAAAGTACTTTCGAAATACTACTTAAGGTCCATAACCCCATATAAAGTTGATAACTGTATAGTGAAATATTGACAAACAACCATACTAGATAAGACGTGTCAACCAATCAGGTAAACTTACTTTCCTCTTCTCTAGTATAGCCTTGCAGCTCTGGAATGTTTCTTGGATGTGGCCCTTGGCATTGTCGCGCTGTATCTGCAACTCTGACAGAGCGTTCTCCAAATTGGAGGTAGCCTCCTGACAAATGGTCACCTTGCTCTTACTCTCCGTCACCAGCGACCTGAGGTCTTCCTTCTGCTGCTCCTCAACGTCAGAGATCTTCTCGTGGCTGTGTTCTGGCTGACGGTGCTCACTCAGCATACAATCGTTACAGATGGGCACCTACAACCACACCAACAAATGTGAGCCACTGATGCTTACAATACTTCAGCTCGTCTGGTAAAATATTCATCCTGAGTGACTGTCGATGCCTCTTAAATCGCCCAGGTTTTGGAAATACTCAGACACAAACGCTGAAGAGAATTTGCACAACATTGCAGAGTGTTTATAAAATCCAACTGCATTTATGCCAGTCAGGTTACACCCATGACATCACAAATAATTTAAACTCAGCATGAATAAACCTTACATCAATCATTGAATTCCTCATACATTTGACAATAAAACAACTAGTCTATGTCAACAGTCAAGATGAAATTAAGCGAAATACATCAGGTGTGAAAACAAACAATGTACTCTGAAAAGAGCACTTGTTAAAAATGTAAACAAATCAAAATTCAGATTTTGCACAAAAATATTTTGGCATATTGTCAAGAGATCTGTGTGCCTAATCTTGAATTCACTTCCTCATTAGTTTCAGAATGGGAAGGGAATAGCAAGAACAAGAAGACAAAGTCATCAATATCCCCCTCAATGGCAAAATACTCTTCATGATTATGTCTACGAGTTATGATTATGTCAAATATTTAGGTGTGTATATAGGAAAGTGGAAGGAGAGTATTGAAAGGTTTTTAAAGTTCTGCTCCAGAAAGGAGCACTATCACCAATTTCATTCAAACTTGTTGCCATGAAAATGCCAAAAATATTTTATTCAGAATTCCCAAACTACCAAAAGGCACCAGTACACCACCAGACCTATCTATGTGCCAAGTTTGGTGAAGAAACATTGAACAGTTTTAGAGTTCTGCTCCGGAAAAGAGCACTACCACAATTTCAGGCTAAGTCAAACTTGTTGCCATGGAAACGCCAAAAATATTTTAATTCAGAATTCCAAAACTACCAAAAGACACCAGTACACCACCAGATCCATGTATGTACCAAGTTTGGTGAAGAAATATTGAACGGTTTTAGAGTTCTGCTCCGGAAAAGAGCACTCCCACTAATTTCAGTCAAAGTCGAACTTGTTGCCATGACGGACGGAGTCCATTTTAATACCCCCCGCAAAACGTGTTGCGGGGGATAATTAGGGACATAATAACAGATGTATTTCAATGATTTGGTACATTCAACAAAGAGAGTGAGTTCGGTTTTACGCCGCTTTTTGCAATGCTCCAGCAATATCACGGCGGGGAAGACCAGAAATGGGCTTCACACATTGTACCCATGTCGAGAATCGAACCCAGGCCTTCGGCGTGACGAGCGAACGCTTTAACCACTAGGTTACCCCACCGCCCCCCATTCAACAAAGAGTTTCTAGAGCTACAGATAACTTTTTGGGTCATCGAGTTATGTACTCCCTTGTCTTCATCTCAATTGGATATCCTAATTTTTCTTTGAGTAACGAATATAAATTGTACCCACCTCACTCAAACTCAATTGGGTATTTTGCCATTTTCCATTAATTTTAAAAAATATAATAAAGTTTAAATGTTAGTGTTTTGATTTACATTTGATCTGTAATATGGGAAACGATAAGAAAGACTGCAAGTTGTCAAGTTCATTTTCTGATAGGAACCTCTCAATATACTTCAGTTATTTTATCTATCCACTGGTACCTAAGCTATGATTTGACATTTTTGTGTGTACGCATGTAAGATCACATTTATTGAGTATTTACATAAGCGTACTTGTACGCAATAGACTTAACAGGAATTGAGTTTTTACATAAGTATTTGTGTAATTTACGCAGATACGCAGCTTATCGGTACCTCTGGTTTCTGACAAGCCTGACAAACTCATTCTCAGGTGAGGTTTATGAATGAAAATACACAATCAATCTGACTTGCATGCACCTTTCATACTTTGGATATCTTTTATTCACACTATTAATTTCACTGTGCATATTGTCTGCTTTGGGACAGAAGACCAGTCTAAATCAATTGGCATCAATTACCTTGTTATCTTAGGGGGTGATTGGTCTGTTTAGGTTGGTGAAAAAGGATCCCATAATGCAAACTTTCGAAGTCAGAAAAATGAGTAATGTATTTTCAAAAATGGTAACTGATTCTAAAATTCAAATAACATTGTTATTTTTGTGCACACTTCCCCTTTAATGTTAATCAGACATATACAGTCAGGCCGCGGTAATCCGGTCCTCGTTAATCCGAATCCACCGACTTCCGAACGCTACTCACTGGGCACCAAATCATCTCCCTATATATTGTATATAATTGACACCTCGTTAGTCCGATGATTCAGTTTCCGCCTCCGAACGCTGGTCAGTCAGAACGGATTGGACTAATTACGTTGTAAACAGCTGCGTTAATCCGAACGATTGAAGTTGACCGCGCTGCTGACTGGTCCACCCAAAGTGACACGTTGTTTGTTTAGCTACTTAGCGACTCATCCCTTTGATCCCTTTATCATAAGTGATAGGGAAATTTCGACGACCACGCTGTTTTGGGAAAGACTTCAATCCAGAAATATATGCTCGGTACCGTTTCAACACGAATTAAAATTATAAACTATTTTTCACAATGTTATTGAAAACAACGATTCTCGGACACATGATTCGGCAGCGGGTCCACAATAACATTGTCAAAGAGCAAAGTAACGATGTTTCAAGGAATTCATTAAATAAATTGAATAAACTAATGAATAAAATCAACAAAATATATACATGAAGCATTTTTGTCACAGGTCATAACCTAGCACGATACATCCAATAAGTTCCATAATTTACGTATAGGTAGCGATTTCTTGCTTAATATGTTCAGAATAGCATTATTTTAGCCAAAACTTTAGTCTAAATCTAAAAATTTTCGCTTTTACGGACGCGGTATCCATTGCCGTAATATGATTGGCTGCCTTAGGTCACGTGTCTGATTTTGACCAATCACGCACCCTTATAGCAGACTGTAGCGAAAAGCGTCATTAGAAACCAATTTGTATCCAATAAAATCGCTTCTTACAACTGTGAAAATACTCGGCAAGGGTTCAGTGATGTTGTTGATGTTCAGAGCTTTCGAACGATACCCGACATCAAACGATTCGCCTCCCATGTTATTCATACAATGCTTCAAAACGCAGGTATTTTCCGTTGTTATGTCATGTTACCGAGCGGAAAGCCACAGATATCGGGAAATAGGCGACCATACATATTATTTACGAAATCTTTTTATAATAATTTTCTGATGACGTAAAAATGAAAATATAAAAGAAAAAGGCACGGGCATGTTATGACATGTCACAAATGGAAAAAAATCGCCATAGTTTTTGCCATATCTGGACGCCAATTTATAAATGTAAGTTTGCATTTTCATTCAAAAATAATTTTATTTAAGTTGTAGTTGTATCAAGGGGAAGTAACTCGGTGCATATACTGTGGTTTCAGCAGTACGAACGTTTCACTATCCGAACGGTTTTTTTAAAAAACCAAAGTGTTCATATTAACGAGGTCTGACTGTACATAATGCAACATGTTAGATACTTGGGTTTAAAATATGCCCTAGGTTTGGGGGATATAAAACTGGTCTGCCAATAGTCACTGACTATTGGCCATGTCAATCCCTGATGCTATTTTGTCACACGTCTTCTAGACAAGAACATACAGATTTAACTGACCTGGCAAGTATTGCAGTAGTATTTCAGGTTTTCACTTGTGTGGACTGGACAGAAAATCGGTTTGTGGATTGTTAAGCCACCTCCATTCTGTAGTTCCTCGAAAGACACCACCTAGAGTAAACATCAAAATATAGCCAATGAAGTTGTGGAAAAATATCAAAATCATAGATGTATTTGTGAGTGAGTGAATATTGCTTAACACCTGATCAGCAATTTTGCAGCTCAGCGGTGTATTTGTAAAGGCTAATGCCCGTCTGGTGATATTCATCTTATCTGAAAACCTGCATTTGCTGAGAAAACCATGACCATCTGGCCCCAAGCTTTTTGCTGAGGTTGCAGGTTTTAGTATCATTTGAGGGGAAGTGTTTTATCCAACGGACAACTGACAAATTATCAATTTGCACAATCAGATGATGACTATCTACCCGACACTTTAACACAATGCATAAGCTGCATCATGACATGTCTCAAATATCACTCTCAAAAATGTTAATGGCAATGTCATTATGTGTGTCGGAACTATTCAGATGCTTTTGGCACATAGTCATCCCTCGCAAGAACGCTCTTTGCGATACCGTGGTTTCGGTTAAACCGCAGGGTAATCTGAGGGTCCCATAAAAGAAAGTTGCCCAGCAATTACACATCATCGGAAATAGCATATCAACAAACCTGCTGTTGAGCTCAGGTTAATCTTGTTGTAAACTAGCGAAATTCAGTGCAGACTGCAATGAACAGTGTTCATCGTACATATCCGTGGGTTTTCAGATACCTAAAAACATTCAGCTAATCAGATGAACAGTGGAACATTGTAATAACTTATAAACAACTACTTTATCATAAAGACATGCCAGGGATAGAAATACTTTTTTTTCTAAGTGTGCCTTAGGGCACCAGACAAATATTTTAGATGTGCCTTTCAGAAATCAAGTGTGCCCATATGTTTTTAGAATAAATGACTGTAGCAGTGATGATGATCTTTTGAAATTTATTATTAGTAAACAACAAATGTAACCTGCTTTCTGTTATCACTGATATGTCTTCTGTTTAAGATGGCTTTCTTAAGCTTCATTTGTTCTGCTTTCCCAACACCTTTAATAGCTAAGAGTTTTGTGACAGGTTCACTTGTTCAATATATCTAGCATGCACAATTTCCTGTTCAATAACCAAATTTTCAGTACTCCCATCACTCTAAATGGAAAAACAACCACATTTCTTTACATCATCCATCATAATTCCAGTGATTTCCTGGGCGATAAAGTCAAAAAATGTTTTTACTTGTTTGTCATTTGCGCAAGTGTTTTGTTTGGGGGATGAAATGACTAAAGTGAGTTATGTCTCTAAAAAATTAGGTGTGCCATAAGGGCACCGAGAACATTTTTTATCCGTACCATTTCAAAATTCACTGTGCCATGGCACGCTAATACATGGGGTATTTCGAACCCTGCATGCTATCAGCCAAGTACTTATATTGTTTGCTGTGATGCAACAGACTGCCTTATAGCACGGGTAAACCCCGCCATCCGAAAACGTATGTCAGAAAACATTTAATGAAACCATCTTCCTCGATTTCATATTTGATTAAATTTAATCCCATTTTCATTCATAAAAACTGTTTCCAGAAACATCAGAGAAAACTTGCAAATCACCTCATTCTATAAGCGTACAACTACGATACGAATCCCAATATAAGGGTGGCGATACGATACAAATCACGATACTAAAATCTTTAATTCTAACACCAACTATAAAACACCTTAAGATAAAAACAAAACCATTTTAAAATCTTTCGTCCAATTCAGCCAGCGTTTTTCAATGTTCATTCAGAAACGAGATAATAAAGTTTATACAAGGACTTTGTGAATGTTAATAACATGCAAGCATATGTCTGACACAGTTCTTGACGCATGAATTTCCGAGAAAACGTTTACTTATGAAGGGAAAATAAGTTAGCATAGATCATCTGTTAAAATAACTCCTTAAAATATCAATTAATCTGACAATGGAATACAAATTCTTTGATATTATATTTTCGGGATCGTTTTTAACTGAATCACTACTACATTGGAAAAAAACATGTGTATACAGCCTCTTGCTATTTCCGGCTTAGTTGAATGATTGGAAGCATAACAGGAACGATAATTGAACTATCATGTCTAGTGATGTTTGATTGCAAGTTTCCTATACATATATCTATTATCATTTACAAAGTCTGTTTTTTCACCTCTGACGATACGATACAGTTTTGACTGGGCACAAAACATAAAATAGCAGTTCTGTTATGTCCATGGAAAATATGATTTTACTTGGTCTATATTCCGTGTTGTTTAATGCAGGGTAGGGGGGACGTGATACCTGCGTTTCGGCGAGGGATGACTATCAATATATATTTCATTAAGACAACATATTTTACCATACAGCCAAGATTACTTCTTGACACTTTAAAGTATACCTTTGGTCTCAAAGTGCACTATTTTCTACAATTATGACAAAATTTCAATAAACTGACACTGTTGCAATTATTTACTTACAACAGACAACGTATGTGTGCATAATCACCTTTCCATTCCACAGATATAAATATGCACCCAATTTACAATAAATCTTATTTGGATCAATGACAGAATATGTACATGTCGCCTACCTTGTGATTTTCAAAACATCGCATGAACTGATGTGCAGTGACACATATTGGACACAGGAAGCTGGCACAATCACTGCACCTGGCCACTGCCTTCTCTTTGGCTTTGCAGCTGGTACACACCAACTGCATGTCTCCCATGTCGGTCATGTCCAGCATGTCGGACAAAATATGCTCTGTGGGCAGGCCACTGGCCCCCGTGGGGGGGATGATTGTCTCCTGCTTGCATTGCGAGCATATTATATTCGGACTAGATGGCGTCACAAAGACGGCCGAATCCTTCCCGTCGTCTTCATCCTCGTCCTTGTCTTCTTCTATCTGTTTGTCAAGACATGCCTCACAAAAGACGTGTAGACATGTCAGCACTTTGGGCTTCTTCAACTTTTCCTCACAGATTGGGCACTTTTGCTCCTCATTTTCAAGTGAAGAAGTCAGAAGCGGAGAGGAAATGGGTGATTCCTTTGGTGAACCGTCCTCAGAGGCCATTACTTACACAAGATCCTGAAAACAAAGCAGTAGTGACTATTATGAAGCTCTCTAACTTACAACCTAAATCTAAGTCTCCCATTATAAATAGCATTATATTGCAGTTAGCAATACTTTGTGACATTCTGAATATCTGATGTCAGTCTGAAGTTAATCTTGACAGATAAAGAGGGGTTGGTATATACCATGCCTCAACCTGTAATCATAGATCGAAATGAGCCACAGGTCTTTGAGATCTTTGGTACTGCAACCTAGGTAATGCCTGGCCTGTTTATCAACAAACAAAACATACAGAGAGGTAAACCCAAAACTTTCAGTATATAACAATAGAGTTATGACAAGGATCCCAGGCATAATTTCCAACACTGGCAGAGGTACTAAAACCACAAGGTAACCAAGCCTAACTAGCTGATAAAATATTATACCCTTGCCTCTACCTTTCAGAAGAGCAAAAGTGCATGGAACTCCTGGTCGTCAGGATGACTATATTGTAGGCAGGTCATCTTTGCTGTCAGTCATTGATGCAGTCATAAGATCTGCTACAAATTAGAATTAGGTGAGGTGAAATTGGGTTTAACGTCGTGTTTGAGAATATTTCGCTCATATGATGACGTGCATGAGTGTGTGTGTATGTATGTGCGGCTGCTTGTACTAGCCCAGACTGAAGCTGGTTTTATAGTGCTAGCCCACTGAGATACCATGCCGCAGTGAAGCATGAATACCCCACTCAGACACATTATACTGACTCCGAGCCGATCAGTCCTTGTTGTACCCATTAAAGCCGAACGCCAGGCAGGGACCAACAAGTACCATATTTTAACGCCTTTTGGTATGACGCGGTCGGGGATCGAACCCGCGACCTTCCGCTCTCCGGGCGGACGCTCTAACCACTACACACAAATTAGAACTAAATATAACCAGACAGGAAATGTTAACACACTGAACATTTCTGTCCCATTCAAGCAGGACAAACTACAAGCTCTGAGGTTTAGTGAAATAAGGTTCACTCAAGTCCTCTGGATTAGTATTTAAAAAAAAGGCAGCTTAATATGGTTGTATCATACCATGTATGCATGCTTTAACAACAAATGTATGGGAACAATCATAGGTAAGGTCAATAGAATATAAAATCCCTGCAGAGGAAATGATCCTACCAAAGGCCAACAGAAATATAGCCAATCATCATTCATTTGTAAAAACTAAGAAACACCACATTGTGCAATACTATAAGGGAAACACTCAAACACTGTTGTGTCAAAGTTGAAGGGACATATGTTAATAATTCAAGTTATCCAAAATTTGACACAATCACAAAATGATGAATGATAAATAAGGACTACACAGGGACCAAGCATTTACTTTGCGACAATCTCGTTTCAACAGTAGTGTATGACTGGACAAGGCATTCTGCAAAGTTTCTGAATAACACTAAACAAGAAATATATTTTTGTCATAATATCAAAAGAAATTACAAACTGACCCCACAACCATCAATAATGGAAGAAATATAATTCAATCTGTTTTTCCATCCAAACTGTTGAATTACTTCATGAAATGTCACAGTTTAATCAGTACAATGAATGTAGTCCAGTGTTCATGAATAGCGTCTGACCCTCTGACAAATCCGGCAGATTTGCCAATGGCCCGATAGAAGTCTACAACCCGCCAGCCCCAGTGTGACTGTATATTTCACAACGACTTTGACTGAAGTTGTTATATGTGACATGTGACACTTGTTTGCTGTTTATAAATATTATGTTTGTTAATAATTTCAATGCCAATTATAAGAAATGTTAAATCTGAAATGTGTGTTTAATTTTATTCTATGGGTCCTGTGAATTTTCAATGGGTCAGACAGACATCTGAAACTTACAGGACCCAATGTCCTGTTACTTTGAAACACCATTCATGAACACTGGTGTACCCTATCAGTTCAACATCTAAACACCATCTTCCAACATTAACACAGGAGACCTTCTAAATCACAAATACTCAACATGCTATCATATCATTTTACACATCAAGAGCCATGATGTTAAAAAAAGCATATATGTTTTCTATCCACAGACATGCTACAATGCAGGCAAATATATATCTCGCTAAAAAATTCACACAACCATAAAATCATTATTACTATATTGATCGTGTTGGTGAATGTGAAGAAAATATATGAAATGTGAATTAATTACCTTTGACATATAGCAATGCATATAACCATGGCACTGCTTGTTGCTAAACAATCTGTAACCAAGCTGTGACCTACTTTGCTCACTGATTCCTGTCAGTGCGAAACTGAAGTCAGCTGGTTTGCATCGCTGCTCCGTTGTGGTATGTACACATTGTGCGAAAAGTGGCGTGAGTCGCCTCCACAGAACAATACGCTAAAGGAAGGCGGATTAACTCATTCCATCACCACGTCAACAAACTATGCCTACCAAGTTCGTATATATATAAATAAGGATCCATAAATAGAATGTCGACCTCAAAAGACCTTGAACCTGGGCAATGCTAACCCTTTCAATTCACATAATATTTTCGCCGTTTTGCTACCATATGGCCTCTAAACTAATATAATACCCATTATGGTAAGAAAGCGTAAATTCATATTATGCATATTAATGATAATGTAAACAAAACGGACCCATATCTACTTCCTGATTCTTAGTATTTCGATAAACAGGTTGTTTCCGTTCTGCCCTGTGCGATTTCCTGCGAATGCACGGGGCACGACAAGAAGCCTCAGCAAAAGGTTTATGCAAATAAGTGTTTATTACCTACGCCCTGGCGACACGTCTGTGTTTCTTCATACATTATTCACTCAATCGATTACAAAAGTGAAGAAAATATAATTTGCAATATCATCTAAATAAAATCGCAAAATTCCATCACTTGCGCGCGCATGTGCGACGAAACCGCCCACGAGATATCAACACTTGTTGCATGCAACATATATAAATAAACATACGTATATAAACTTTCAGTTAAATCGCAGATGCACGGTCCAGTAACAAGCCACGGGGACACTGGAAAATTGCCGCAGGCAGACGTGAAACATTTCCAAGACCTACATTCTGAGGTCACGTTCTGTCTCGTTGTTCGTGGGATTCATTAGCACACAGTCGACTGCGGAATTTGGAAGAAATCTCCACACGTTCCCGTCCAAGCAAGGTTATTGGATGTGCGTGCAGGAAAATGACCTACCTGGAATGCATGAAGGGATGTTTCGTTACTGTTACTTGCGATGTTTAGGCAACACATTAAGGAAAATAGAAGCACGTCCACCAGGACACCGATCTACTTCCCGCCATCTTTGGATCGATGAAAATTTCAATGCACATGCGCACTAGTGCCTTCGCGGCGGGAAGAGTAAATGCGGTCGATCACGTGGAACAGGTGGTTGACAAAATTACAGAAGTTCCACATGTGTGAAGTAATTGCACAACTCACAGAAACAGCTAACCTACCAACTGTTATCACCACATCTTATGTTTACAACACATTTACAACAGTGGATTGTAAAGGGTTTGATATAGTTAGGTCTCATGCCCTGATGAAATTATTTTTCTTAAAGCTTATAAATGACCTATTAAATGCAAGATGGGCGGTTGATAGCATGTTTTGTAGGCCTACTGCACATCTTTAGTCATATCGAGAGCCAGTTTCATCTATGTACAGGTACACTTATATGTCAATGAATTTAAAAGATAAATATTGCTTACATACTTAATTTCATGACGTACGAACTAGAAAATGTGAATTTCTTCTTACCTTCTTGCACTATTTCACTAACATGATATGCAGTTTCCACTGGATTTGACTAACCCAAAAGGTTTTCACTCACGAGCCCAATCCCACCCTTTCGAAAATTACCTAAACCAAGATATTCGGCACGTTAGATCTACAGCCCATAACACAGTAATACTCTGTGACAAATTCTACATATAAACGAACCTTACAAATTCCTGAAACTGAAGGTAATAATTAAATAAACAACCCCACTTCCCCAAAACCTCGCCGGAACCGCCTCCCTAAAATTTACACACACGGCTGGTGTATAAAAAGGACAATTTTAGTTTATTCCATAATCCAGTTGCCCATTTGTTCATTTCCGTTCCATTCAAAATTTCCGGGCTGTTTTAAAGATTTGATTGTGAGAACACGGCGAGCGTTACAAACGTCCTCTTTACAGAGCTGAATAGTTCCACACTACCCCCACACCGATAAAACGGCGTTCATAGAATTGCGTGATTTATTGACTCGTATTGGCGCCATATTTGACACTGGTAATTCCTACCCGTCAAATGTCAAGCGACAAAATACTGAGCGACTGCACATGCACTGACTTAGACTGGAAGTCGTTCGTTTTTACAAATAAATTCAAAGAATTGGAAAACCAAATGCTTGATTTTTGTCACTGCATGTTCCGCATGTTTTAAAATATTTTAGGAACATTGTTTCATATTTATGAGTTATTTTTGTTTATTGTCAGAGATTTTTTAAAACAAGATGGAGACTGTATGAAGCTATAGTCCATGGCGAGTTCAGTTTTCAAATTTTTCAGTCAGTGTCTATATATTTTCCGGAATCATTCGTAGGCCTAATGTCTTTCCCAAGGAATCTGAGCAGTACAACCTCGTTATAACATTCTTGTTTCGCACCGTTTTAACGCTATAGCCATCTGATCAAGACATTCGTGCATGTGACATGTGAGTGTTAGTTTTTAGTTGTATCCTGGCGATTTGGTGTCTCACTCCGAGAGTGTGCGTTTGAAACCCGGATGGGACTCAACATCCCCCCAAAGTATAGAATGAGTACTTTACTACAATAAGGTGTAATCCCAAATATATGCATTAAATCTTTCGAAAGTAAACACATGTATAGTGTAGGGTTTTAAGGCGATTTTATATACTCAAGCCAAAATATGTACCAGGAGGTACACTTTGCATCCTTATGTCGGGAATTATACACGGGTGTTTGCGTTTCGAGTTAATGCCTGAACGCACCGGTGCGCCCTTTGGAATACAGTGTGGCATGTGTCTAAAATGGAAAATAGGTAGGCTTGTGACAAGTTAAACGATATATTTCTAAGGTTATTTTCTACGTTGTCCAATGTGTTACTACATGCATGTACTATCTGCAAGGAAATAATAATTGTTCACATGTCCACCTCTAATTTGTGTTCGTTTTTTCAGATGCATTTATGTGGTAGAATATAATTAAAGAGACGCGTCACGTGATCCCATAAGGTCACAAAAGCCCACTGTTGGTTTATGGGCATAAAAAAGGTAGATGTCTGTCACTTCAGACTGAACTTTTGAGTATCTGTGATGCTAAAATAGGTCTGATAATAAGATGTGGTCGTACGTTTGTTAGTATTTTTAGTGTTTATTATCTGTTTCATGATTAGACGACTAACGATTTCTCAAATTGTTTAATAAATAATAAAAACATGTGATAGTTCTGAATAGATAAGTTATACCGATCACAAGACACAAGACAATCCGTGCTGCAGTATCGGAAATATAGAAAGTTCTGGTAGTAACTCTCATGTACTGCTGGCATATACAAATACAAATCGGCCCATTTATTAAAACGAACAAACGCACGCACGCACGCACGCACACACGTATACATGCAAGTATTCTTCATGCTTTCTGCATCCGATATGCATTAAGGGACTTAATTCTTTGGCATTCTTGTCTTTATCATCAATGTTTAATAAAATTATTTTATTTAAAAGTTATGTATCTATGTAGAATACAGGGAATAAATGAACTCTCAAAGGAGTTGAGGCAAACTAGACTTGCTCAGTCATTCTTGACTTGAGCACAGGGGCTTGTAACGCTAAAACTGCCATCAAGGTATGTACTGTGACTGACGGGGTCTTAGCAATATATACAAGCTTTTATATAGTGCTAAGACCTTGTCAGTGACAGTTCATACCTGATAGCAGTTTTAGCGTTACAATCCTCTGTGGACTTGAGTTGGTCTCCTTGATATATTCGCCTGGGTTTGTATGTGTGACTGGTTGTATGTGTCGGCTGTAACAATGCTTGCCGTCTCAGAGGTCATTATGACCTTTTGTGCATAGTACATAATACAGGTCAAGGAGTCTGCAAATAGGTCAAGCTGTGGTGGTGATGCTGTTATCCAAGGCCTGTATATAGACTAACGGTTAGTCCTTGACTATAGATAATTGTGATAGTAACAAAATAAACCTATTTAACCTGAAAAGGAGCCACAGAGAGTTAGGTGATTCTGAACCTTGGGAAATCTAGACTTGCTTCACTTATAGGGCTTAGCATTGCAGGGTGGGCTAGGCAGTAGGGAAAATAATGTGGTTCAGGGACTGTGAGGCAGACTAAGGCCTGTTTTATACTACTATTTAAGAGGGCCTTAGAGGAGCGAGTATGGTTTTACGCCGCTTTTAGCAATATTCCAGCAATATCACGACGGGGGACACCAGAAATGGGCTTCACACACTGTACCCCTGTGGGAAATCGAACCCGGGCTTCGACGTGACGAGCGAACGCTTTAACCACTAGGCTACCCCACCGCCCAGAGTGCCTTAGATGATGTAGATAGTTCAGTATATATGTTAAGGTTGAAGTACCTAAAGCCGTCATTATATATATAGCAGATTCAGTGACTGGTTTTCTTGACTGTTAACAAACGATCCACGACTGTAGACACGCTAATAGACCTCTGACTTGGTATTCGCCATTAAGTAATCTTTCTCTTGTACATGATTAACCGTAGCCATCTCAGATAGTGCATGACAATTTTGCTCATCTAATTGGCAGTTTGTTGATATACGCCCTAAGTACCACCAATTATATATAAAAAGACATCCGAAGGTTAGAACTGCATTTTTCAAGCAACATATGCTTGTTTTAAAATGCGTCATGAGGTACCGGGTGATCCGACTCCTGATGTCGTACCCAAAGGCGAAGGAGTCAGGACGTTCCCCATATTTATGCGATTCTTGAATTATGAAAATTTGAGTGAACTGAGGAAAGGAGTGTTTCCTTGAGTTCAACCTGAGGTAACTAGTGTCACTAAAGCATAACATCTGGCAGTACCCGATATAAAGCGTAATAAAAGCACACGTAGATATAAAACAAAATGGTTGCCATGAGAACGCATAACACCAGTGTATGAAATACGCCAAAACCCCAGCCAGACATCTGGGCTAGTAACTTCAAAAACTTACCAGCCCAGAAGAGATTTAGCCACCATTCCTTAAATACTAAATAGACAGTGCCAGTGGACACGTTATCTGAATATTTTTGTCACCCGTCCATCAGGCTGGCTTGCTGTAAAATTTGACCGTCCGGCATAAATCTAGCCCGTCTCGGGCGGTCGGACGGGCCTCATTTCATACACTGATTACTCTCCATCCTTGTGCTATAGAAGAACAAAATGAGGGGTTAAAAGTACCGTGCTATGTATTCCTATGTTATGATATCAATAATTAGTAAAATAACATCACAAAATTACTTATTGATATCAAACATCTGATTTTACGAAGATAATTACTAACATTACATTTTTTTACATCACTAATGCGATTTTTAGATCTCAATAAATGGAATATGATGTCAAAAGATGGATGTTGTGATATCTAAAATTTGATTTTACAATTTGTGATGCTTGAAAATCGGAGATAATTTTTTATATCACTCTTGATATCACAAATTCTATGCATACGCGTTTGAAAATTCTATGCATCGGTTCTATTGATATCTAGGAGTTATATCTGTGATATCAAAAAATACAATATGAATATCTAACAATCGAGCTTGTGATATCAATAAATATACAAGTGTTTTAATGTTTGATAAGCTGCCATGTTATATTTTCTATGAATGCATGTAAAATGACAAGAATATTCAAAGTAATGCATAGAAAATCATAAGGCTTTATATTATGTCAACCATGGACAGTTAGATTTCTCGGTTGCATATTCTAATACGGAACCCATAACACTATGATATTAGTACTTAGTAAAATACAATAATGCATGTATTCATGGAATTAAACTAATTAGCTTTAAAGTTGACCCAGAGGGGTGGTCTGGCAGACGAGTGGTTAAGGGGTAATACCCATTTAGGGTGTCCCCCCGCCGTGATATTGCTGGAATATTGCAAAAAGCGGCATAATATTGCCTTATTCACTTCACTTTACGGTGACGTCACTTGGAAGTTGCTAAATTGTGTATCGCACCCCTGTGGTTTAGTAGCCTAGTACTGTAGCTATGGCAACCTGGTCAACCGAAATATGACGTAAATCAGATAATACGCACTTACACAGGTCAGTCATATGATAACGTAAACTGTTCACAAAGTGTAACTGAAGTTTTTACTTTTGAATTAGTTTAAAGATATGACCGCAAATTACGATCGTCTTTAAATGACGCTTACAGGTCTTAAATCACAAGCTAAAGAGCCACAAAAAGGAAAACAAAATAGCTTTATCTCCCAATGTTCTCGTTATTTTACGCTACATTAACAATTATATATTCTATATAATATTTATAATGATTATTATATTCTGACGTATTTCTGAAGATGATTCAGTAATTCAGGTGTGTTTCTATCCCAATCCTTGTTCACTTTGGCCCCGATCAACAATCGAGTCTGGACCAGACAATCCAGTGATCAACACATTGACCATCGATCTACATAATTGTTATACTATGACATGATTGTGTCAGCCAAGTCAGCGAGCCTGACCACCCGATCCCGTTAGTCGCCTCTTACAATAAGCATGAGTTGCTGAAAACTATTTCTGTCCCGGGTCTTTACGGGTCTTTTTCATTTTCAGTACCGGACTGTCTGGACAAGCCCCGATTGTTTACGCGCAGGTCGTAGTATTGGTGTGTGCGGCGCGATACAACAAACTGTCAAATGACATGGCATCTCTGCAACTAGCACTTTGGAAATGTACACTTTTTCTACACGAATTGGAGGTGCACGTGACATTGTACGCATCACCTGTACAAAGTATGTGGCAGCGCTACACCATGCAAAGAAATGAAAGCGCTGGAAATATAAATATATGTGTTGGCTGAGTTTTTTCCCGCTGTTGTTGTGACTACTACAGTACTTCAAATACACGCGTTACTGACATCATACTAAACTATGTGAAAGTATACTGGTTTATATCACTCACAGAAAGTAAGTTAACTGTGGTTGTATATAAATGCGCGATAAGTCACAGTGAGATATTATTGTTACGCAGGTCACGTGTCAAAAAACGTACCCAGTCTGCAGAATATTGAATTACACCTGGCTGCATTATCACACACGTGCATAATATATGCACAGCTTCAGGTCAGGCTATATTACACAGAAATTAAGCGACTTTTACAAATACAATGTACAACCAAGCTTTCAGAGCGTTGTATATACTTTATGGATATAAAGGACGGTGTGGCAGCCTAATGGTTGTTTTTTTAAAGCGTCCGTTCGTCACGCCGAAGACCCGGGTTCGATTGTAAACATGGGTACAATGTGTGGTGTCAATTTCCCGTGTCTTCCCCGCTGTGATATTGATGGAATATTGGTAACAGCGGCGTAACACCATACACACTCACTCACTATCAATATAAATCAAGGTTATATTATAAGTACAAGTGCTGCTGGAACCAATAATCTATATTCTTACGGAGAATTTCCACAGGTTGTGATTCGAGTTTGAAGCAACGCCTATAATTACTCCTCTCCCCATTGTAGTTATCTTACCGTTGACATGGTTCAAGTGCAAGACAAGGACCAAAACGAGCGACACCGGTCAGGTTTTCAAATGAAGGAGTAAGTCTGAGAAAAACCGTGAACTTACCCGGTAAGCTCGTGGCCAATCGTTATTTGTTTATCAATAGATCTTGTCCTTTTTTCATCCACATATTTTAGACCTTGTTCGTGTTCAAATACGAAAATACTTCAGACCTAAATAATACTTTTTCAATTACCACTCATCGACCGTGTTTCCCATATGTGTTCTGCCTCGGGTTCTAATGACTGAAAATACAGTTCGAATCGCAGCGGAAATATAATTCTGTCCATTATGACCCATGTATTCTTAAGACCGACGGATATTAGTCATGGGTGTATTCAATTCTTCCTTTTGTGTAAGCCATACATTCTTTTTCACAGCTTTACTGCTCTAGTCACTAGTTAGTACCGTAAAACCTTGAACAAACGTCTAGTTTTTTATTGATTTCGAAAGGCGTTTATTCAAGGTAGTTGATTATGTTTATCAGAAGGGGATTATTACATCGCCTGTTTTCTTTTTGGGGGTTGGGGTGGTTTTTTGGGGGGTCTCACGTTCTGTATCTCACTCTTCTAAATGTCAGAGACAGCAGCGCGCAGAACCTGCATTTATTCAGTAAAGGCGTTTATTCAAGGATTTACGGCATTTTGCCACGATGCTTACTTACATTGCTACTTGTTTATCATTTGCACTGTGGACACTGTTGCAATCCTGCCCCTGAGACACGTGGCACTGTTACAGTTTTGGAGCAGCCCAGATCAAAATAGTGTTCTGTGGAAATATGGAGCTGATGACACCAGGTCTGTTAGGTAATTAAATAAAACAAAATGATTCATAAGGGCACAGATAGTATTGGCAAAGGTGAATACACATATTTAAGCGGAAAAGCTTATAATGAAATTCGGTTCGGGCATAAAACCTTTGCTTCTCTGACATCTCCATAAAACTCTACGCCAGGCTGTCTGTATTTGTTTTCTGTGTTACACATTGCCCACCTGCCCTGAATTTTCATCTTGACGAGAAATAATAAAAACGTTTATCTCAGTTTTTGCCGCCCTGGTGTGATAATATTCTTACAATTGCATATTCAGAAAACCAGGTCATCTTGACCTTTCTTCATTAATATCATTTGTTTCCGAAGCAAATCTAATTGATCTACATACTAAATCATTTAAATTCTATATTACCATGTGATCTAAATTTTAAAAGCTCATGTGATAAGTTACACGGTCAGTGAAAAATAGAATATCTTTTTCTATTTCTATTTTGTTATCTTCCGCCTGCTCTCTTGCTGGTCAAGGTTAGAGATAGGAAACACAACATACGGAAGGGCGTAAGCGTATTGTCAACAGTGTAGGCATGTGTTATGATGTATTTTGGTCTGATGTCAGTACGTCCTAACATAATGTACGTACATGCATTTGCTGATTGTCATGCATTTTTGCACCTTTTACTTTTATCTGTACTATTCAGTATACAGTTTGGTCGTTGGGGTCACTTAGTTAAATTCAACATGAGCATGCATTCAGTGTACATTTGACGGGGATTGTCTGAATGGCCACATAGAAACAACACGAAGCAACATGTTGGAAGTTCAGGGTAACACAGAGGTCAAAACATAATTACAAAAGGTTTTGTTGCTACCTCAGGTTCACATAACAGATCTGATTCCACCATATTGTATCTAAAACCAGTACTGAACACTTACTTGAAGATATCAGATGATACGATAACAAAAACGTCCTTTCAGTCAAACGTCAAATTTCATAATACCGTCACTTTGAAACGCATGATGGTGTGACGTCACATTCGATGACGTTTCCGCGATTCATATACTGACGTCATTCTTATGTCATTCTTTCCGACGTCAAGGAATATTGCGGTCCTTACGTTCCATAAGTGAGTGAGTGAATGACACACTGCAGTGATGGCATAGCATAACGTCACACTCCGGCGCAGCGATGACTTATCATAACATACTATGCTGGCTTGCCGAATGGAACTCTGGGTATGAGAGTGGCATAACGTAGTACTATGCTGGCCGCACAGAACTCTGGGTATTGAGTGAATGAGTGAGTTCACACTCACTAATTTTCAAGTTATATATAACAGTCTAGAGTGCAGAGACAGATTTGCAAGGGCTATATGTGTTCAACATTCACGCTTCATGTAAACAGCAAAGTCCGAAAATCCAAGAACATCAATCTACGATTGATTGATTGTGTTCAGTTTTACGCCGCGCTCAGCAATATTACACCTACATGGCGGCGGTCAGTAAATAATCGTATCTGGACCAGACAATCCAATGATCAACGCAAGGGCATCATTTTTCATTTTTGTGTTTCACGTAGCCACCAAATTCTGAACATGTGTTGGTCGGTCGGGGGAAAAAGAAATTAATAAACCCAAAATTCTCTAAATACTCGAATCCCTGTACTGCCAGATTATATCTAGGTTTATCTGCACAATATTGGTTCGCATAGGTTTCACCCAAGGGGTAAGGTATCAAGTTGGGTTTTCAAACCATCTCAGTGGACTGGGGGTGACATACATGGAACAGTGTTCAAATAAACGTACTCACATGCAGCAATTTTCACATCCCACTTCATCCTCATCCACCTGTTATTGTCTAAAGTAATGCTAATACAGGGGCACGGGATTCACCTGCAGTATTTACCTGTCAGTCCAGCCTACCCGTGGGTGTCACACTGTGAACCATGGGTACATGCTAGACTGTTCTGTTTACCATACTCCCACTTCGCAATCCTAACCATGACAAGCTACCGACTCTCAGTGATTCTGCTTAATCATGCTGTCGGTGCATAATAATAGTTTATCTTCTCCCTACATATACAATGTATAGTGTTTCATGCAAGATATGATGTCCAGCTTATATGACAGCAGTCACCCGACTACCTGACTAGTCCGTACTATGCTGCAAGGGGGTCACACATCACGACCTTTTCTTGCCTTAATTGGGTTGACATGATGGGGAAATTTATCCCTTGTTCCCTACTTTGTGCCGTACTGAGAGAAGAACACAAGCCCTGACCTACAGAGACAGGAAAACATGGGTCCTATGTTACACTGAGATAGGAAGACACAGGTCCTGTGTTACACTGAGATAGGAAGACACAGGTCCTGTGTTACACTGAGATAGGAAGACACAGGTCCTGTGTTACATTGAGATAGGAAGACACAGGTCCTGTGTTACACTGAGATAGGAAGACACAGGCCCTGTGTTACACCAAGATAGGAAGACACAGGCCCTGTGTTACACTGAGATAGGAAGACACAGGCCCTGTGTTACACTAAGATAGGAAGACACAGGCCCTGTGTTACACCAAGATAGGAAGACACAGGCCCTGTGTTACACCATGATAGGAAGACACAGGCCCTGTGTTACACCAAGATTATGGCACCATGATAGATAGGAAAATATGGCTCCTGTGTTACACCAGATAGGAAAATATGGCTCCTGTGTTACACCAAGATAGGAAGACACAGGTCCTGTGTTATACCGAGATAGGAAAATATGGCTCCTGTGTTACACCAAGATAGGAAGACACAGGTCCTGTGTTATACCGAGATAGGAACATATGGCTCCTGTGTTACACCAAGATAGGAAAATATGGCTCCTGTGTTACACTGAGATAGGAAAATATGGCTCCTGTGTTACACCAAGATAGGAAAATATGGCTCCTGTGTTACACTGAGATAGGAAAATATGGCTCCTGTGTTACACTGAGATAGGAAGACACAGGTCCTGTGTTACACCGAGATAAAAAAACACAGGTCCTGAACTACACTGTCATAGAAAAACAGTGTTACACTGAGATAGACACAGGCCCCCTGCACAGAAGCCATCTGGGACAGACACCTGTTGAAAGCAAAATGTCACCATGTTTGTGACTAACTGAGAGTTACCACAGGTGCACAGCTGTAGAAGCTGCAGTCATGAATCTGCTACGATTCACAGGGCTCCAGATAAGGGCCGTATCGGCGTATGTACGGATAAAAAATTTGCACGATACAGTAGGAAATAATTTATAAAACGTAGCAGATACGCACCACGGCAATGGTGTACGGTCTTAGAATCATTTACAGACGTATTTATCTGAAAAAGTATTGTTTTATTGTATATTGACCTGTTTACACAAGACTAGCAATGTTGTGGTGCATATATAAAACGAAACACAAGATTACTGACACTCCATTACATTCCATTCAGTACTCTAAATGTAGGCTTAAGGTTTTCGAGTACTCCTATATTGAAAAAATAAGGAGTACGTACTCCTGGTGTTCAACAATTATCTGGAGCCCTGGATTCATTTTCAATGTGACTGACCTTGTGTTACAGCATCATGCAATCTCGCACTTTTGTTGAGGGGTAGCGAGAACTAACATCTGATTTTAACGATATTCCAGCATCACAGCAGACAAAGACAGCTTTGTCAAATGAATCAGTGTTGGACTTCATACCAGTGTTGTTAGCATGAACCATTGTATATGTCCCATGAACCGTTTGGTGTTGTTACCACAACCCAATGTATATAAACCATGAGCAATTCTCAGTTTAACCGTAATGATTCACCACACTGGCGAATCTGGTTCAGAACATACCCCCTGTACTTGACGATTATTGGAAGAGCTGAATAAACTCCTCAGTTCTCACATGGAAAATGGGATCTGTTCTACCGATATGGCTGCATTGTAAATCATGGAAAATCATGCAAGTCAAAGTTCCTCCTTGCAGCATATTAATTGCAATACAACAAAGATTATTCTTAAGATAAAGTGTAAGAGAGAATCCTTCAAGGTATAGGGAAAAAGGATAAATGGAAAAACGTTAATAATGTTCGTCACATATTTTGAATATGAGGTTTTCATAATTTATACACAGAAAGCTAAATCATTGTTCACAAAAGCTGTCTATGTATATTTAGTAATGATGCATCCCAAGCTGCATGTTTCATTCAAATTCCTTGGTTTACAGACACTATTCTCAAGGTGGTCAGAATGAAATAGAAAATAAATTTTCAACATACTTACAGCCAGAAATAGTGAAAGAGAACATCTGGTTACCCGTATCCTTCCACTGACCACAGTTTGGAAGTTGTTTATTTGTGAAAATTATAAACAAATTCAGCGGTGAGAAAACCATTTGGTTTGGTTGACACCTCAACATATTCATTCAAGAATAAATTGGAAAATTTCATGGAAGAATATCACAAAAAAGATGCACTAACCATTGAAAAGTGTTGGTGATGCATGACAGCTCTACTTGGCTACAGGGAGGCAGACATGTGACCTCACAGGCATAGCTCAGAGTACAACTCAGATCAAATGTATGAACATGTTAAGATATAAATTACCTGATGCAGGCTATGTTCTAATCTTGTAGGAAGTGCTGACCAGCGTAGGAGTGGGATTTGCTATCACATGAGAAGAGAAACCTCCACCTTCCATGACCTGGCAGCTGACTACTGCTGCACCAGTTCTAGCAGGCTCCCAGTTGACGTGACGGTATCTTACATTCATATCATGTACCATATCAATGTGATGATCTGTGATCTGACTTACTGATCAGCTGTATTTCCTACAATTACTTACTAAGTATGTACATATGGCTGATTTGGGTCAATAGGCTGTTCTCATCCTTCTTCAATATTCATTGCAATTCTATTCTCCAGCTGCCTGGAACCAGTTTTTGTTATTTCTGGGTTAACACCACACTTAACTAAATGACAGCGGTCTGTAACTAATGGTATCTGGACTAGTGTTGGGAACTGGTTAAAATCTCACGTTTGATGATTGGTTCATTACTAACGAGCAGTCATTAGCGCCATTTTTCAGACTTTCCTGTTCATGTTGTTATTGCTGATAAGTGTAAAGAAAAAACATGTTATCTGTTGTTTTTTGTTATATTTAGAAACTGCAAAGTTCCATTTGCAAATTTCACAACCAATGTAAAATTATGCAACTTGCTACTTTAAAGTGATGTCTAATATATCATGAACATAAACTTCACAGTCTTCACGAAATATTCAGTCATGACTTTTCAGTAAGTCAGTAAGTGTAGCAAGTTTTTTAAGAACTAAACATGTTTTTAGGCCCTGACAACTTCTAAGGGACCGTTCATAATATATGGCTAGGAGGAGGTGATGATGATTTTTATGGAGAAGCATGTACAATGTGAATGACCCTTCCCCCCTAAAATTTATGTACAAAGTAAGTGACACCCCACCCCCATGTCATGTTCAAAACCAATGACCACACACACACACACACCTTCCCATAATTTTTAAGCATAATTTTAGATATTTCCATGTACAAAACCTCCCCTAGCACATGTGTACAAAGTTGATCACCCCCCTACATCCCCAGAGCATAATGGGAGAAACCATTCCCCCTCCCAATCATCTCTCACACACACACACACACACACACACACACACACACACACACACACACACACACACACACACACACACACATCGTTTGTATTCGACTATGAGAAAATGAGATCATTGCGACCGATCTTCGGGGTTTTTCAATTAATCGGAATACCACTACTCTGGACCAGACTAACTAGTGATTGATGTCATGAGTACCATGACGATGACACACAATGAACCTTTACCACTTGATCCGTTGAGGTGCATCTAAATCCAGCTCAGGCAACAGGGGACCAGTTCAAATCAGGAGTCCTTAACAGAAACCATAGATTCTCTTGACAGTACCCCGTCTATTATGGTACACTACTTTACATTTTGGTTTAATGCTTTTTGCTGACAATTAAAAATATATTTGTGTAGCTCATGTATTTTGTATTTCATTTAGAATGGAGTTGTTAGAGCTGATTGGTGTACCTGGAACAAATAAATGCTGATCATTTTTAAAGTGTAGGATTTCAGTATTTTCAAAGTAAAAATAATTATATGATTATATACTTCTGGGTTGTTTTCTTCTTAACATTAATTTGGCAGAGGTCAGAGAATACACATAGTGTATAATATTTAATTAATTATTTATTTATGAAAATGTAAATGGCCTCTTTAATCTTTTATCATATTTCCAGATGTGTCTATTTTTTTTCCGAATCTACCAAAGATGATGCTGTCATGAAAATAGAACTAAACTTAAAGTCTTAAATTCATGTTATGATTGAGGTTGATTTGGAGTGAGCAGAATCTGTAAACAGACGGACTGACTGACTGAGTTTGGTTTTACGCCGCTTTTAGCAATATTCCAGCAACATCACGGCGGGGGACACCAGAAATGGGCTTCACACATTGTGCCCATGTGGGGATTCGAACCCGGGTCTTCGGCGTGACGAGCCAACGCTTTAACCATTAGGCTACCCCACTGCCCCGTAAACAGACGGATAAAAGAGACATAGGCTTATCTGTTTAACTTTTGCCATAGATAACATTACACAAAGCCACTCACACTAAATCTAGTGTTCAGGAGAGCTTATGATTTAATGTTCTGGCACACAGGATTAAATGTATCTCGTTTAAGAAAAACATGTTCACCTAAATTTTAGGTTTGCAAAGAAACAATTGGTTGAAAAATGATGACAGAGTTATTGAATAATGAGTGTGTGAGTGAGTTTGGTTTTACGCCGCTTTCAGCAATATTTCAGCAATATCAAGGCTGGGGACACCAGAAATGGGCTTCACACATTGTACCCATGTGGGGAATCGAACCCGGCATTCGGCATGACAAGCGAACTCTTTAACCACAAGGCTACCCCAACACACCTATTGAATAATGAAAGACAAAAGGTTAAGGTAGTAATGGGTTTTTTTAATTTTCATATTTTACATGTTGTATTTGAGTAAGAACATAGAAATAAACAATAAAGCCAACAAAATATAGCATTGTGGATGTGCAAAGCTTTCTTTCTGAAAAATTGATTACACTAATTACAATGAATAAATAAATTTAATGACTGGTTTGGTTCCAAATCCGATGACCTTACCAAGATGAAAGCCAAGATAAGATACAATAATTCGTCATGCAGCAGATTACATCTTTCATGAACATAGCCTCGTCATCACTACAAATAATGAATGTAATGACGCTTATGTAATGTCCAACCTGCCATTATGATGTTACAAATGCTTCATTTCAGCCCTGCATAATGAGAAAACACAGAGTCTCCAAAGTTCTGCACCATTTTCAAAGTCTGTATGGCAGACTGTTACTATGACAACATTCACCAGTCTTCATCACTGCTGTCATCGTTCCCACCACGGATGGTCTTCTTTGCCTTGCTTTGATGCAGGATGTTCTTCTTGCTGCTGCCATCTTGAGTTGGTGGGTTCATTAGGTCGCCCTGGTAGTTGAGGATGTCGGCACATCCCAGCCTCCACTCCAACATCTCCGTTGGGAAGTCATCTTTATTACCCAGATCCGCAAACCCAACAATGTAGTCCACAGTTTTGCCATCCTTGGCAATGCACAAAGTGGGTAGTACTTTTATACGAAGACGCTCCACAAGGAACTGACATTTTTCAGCATTTATTTTGATGAATTTGGTTTCCAAATGATTCTTTGCTATTATTTGTAAATGTTTGTCCACAATCTTGCAGCGAAATGTGCTATCCCTGTAAAAATGGCATACAACTTTCTTGCTTTTTTTGCACTCGTCAAAAATTCCTTTTCATTTGCAACTTCGGAATATTCACCATGACCCTGTGCCAGCCATTCCTGTTTCTGCTGGGCTCCTTTTCTCATGGCTTCCATTCTTCGTCTCTTCAAAGCCTCAAAATCATCATCGTCCATCTTTTCCAGTTTTTCTATCTCAGCATCCACCTGGCCTTCAATGACCTTGGTTGCTTGAAGCAGCTGATTCTCAAGCATGTTAGCCATGGCTGCAGCTGCAAGGAGAATGAAGCAAAGGTCAAGATTCAGTCTGATAGTGAATGGCTAATAACGTAACATTGGCCACAGATGCCTATCCTATTTGAAACATACTACTCGCAATATTGTATAAAAATACCATAATTTGGTGATACATTTTCATGAAAAAGAACACATGACAGTTGACAAAACATGTTTATCACACAAAATTTGTTTCCAAATGATTTGCATTGATTCTTTTATGTTACCTATCATTTCCAGAGAGCTTTATTAGTGATGACTGACATTGTCATTCTCATTACCATTCCAGTGTGATTTTCAAAGACAGAAACAATTGGAATACAAATGGAAATTAGTGTAATTTCATTAATAGTAATCAACTGTCCTAGAAACCCATCATTTTAGCTTGGTTATGTGACCCCCATTTACCCTTAACTTAGTTATGTTTTACAGATCTATTTGTCTGTAAAACGTTTTGTATATGAGACACTGACTTACTGACTGAGTTTAGTTTTACGCCACTTTTAGCAATATTCCAGCAATATCACGGCAGGGGACACCAGAAATGGGCTTAACACATTGTGCCCATGTGGGGAACCGAACCCGGGTCTTCGGCGTGACGAGCCAACGCTTTAACCATTTGGCTACCTCACCGCCCCGTATATGAGACACTAATCACTTCTGATTCATCAGTCCAATGCACTACCAGGTGTTTTTTATAGAGAGGAGCACTCTTTCACATCTGCATGTGGTATATGGTAAATTTAGAAGGTGCCAGAAGGTTCCAATTTGCTTGATTGAGAGAAGTCATAAACATGATAAAGTTGCACTCAAGGCTAAACTGCAATAATCCAGCTTCTTCACAAATTTGTCTTGTGACAGATGTAGTTGACATTGTCGGGAACTCTCAAGTTAATACATTCAGTGATTCATGTTTTGATATCACATAATCAATAACTGTTTTTCTGGAATGATAAATAACGCACACATTTATATCAAGAAAACACAAAATACACTGTACACGTTCCCTACTGGCCTAAAGATCTGATGCCAGTGATAATCACGATCATTCTACATTTTAGTAGATGGGCCTAGTCTCAGTCTGCCAGTAGCCTAATGAGTTATAAGATGTTTCAGCCGGTAGTATCAGAGACCACATACCGGTATATGGTCTCTGGTAGTATCATTGCGAATCTAACACACCGAGAGAAATATAACTTTCTATACAAAAAATACATTTATTATACTTTACCTTATAACTTACACACGTCTCTTCGAATAATAACAACTTGAACTATTTTACTTTAGAATCACACTTCTAATGCTCGTCACTCTCGACTTCCGGTATGTAGTGCAGCCGTAAAGAGGGTGGTAAAAGACCTGTGATTGGCTTGAGCGTTTCTCGGGACCAATGAAATCTCTCGTCATAGCCAATTCATACTCGACAGAACAAGTCGCACCTTGTCAGTTGCTATGATGGCAAAAATAAAAACAGTGTTTCTAATGACCATGGTGATTGCCTGTAATCCGATTTTTTAAACTGACATAGGTTTTTCAAAATACATAAAATAGAATAGTCAGAAAATAATTCAAAATTACGAAATCAATTTAGATCAGATTTCAATTTTGAATTTTAAATCTCGTTTTACTAATGAGGTAAGAACTAGAAAACTTGGAATCTAGACATTTAAAGACAAAATACGAGAAGGATATTCAGTGCGACAAAAGCACGGGGAGTAAACATGTATAAATAGGTTTTAAATGAGAAAACATCTTTTGTAGTGCTTACAGATGACATATGTTTAGTATATAGAGAATACTACACGAGGTTTCATTACATACGAATTATACGAAACGAGTGTCCTTCCTATGGTATCTGACCGAGCGAAAGCGAGGTCAGATAACATAGGAAGGCCACGAGTTTCGTATAATTCGCATGTAATGAGACCGAGTGTGGTATTTTATTTATTACCCACGTCTTACATGCATTAAATTGACAAAATAGCGTATTTTTGTTAATATTTTGGTTTCAAACCGAAACCGGTTTCATAAAGGGGTTGCGGAAGAGTTTTGTACTGCAGTACAATATTTGCATGACGTCACACCAACATGACGTCACTGCCATGGTAACCGACGTCACGATGCCTGTCAGTTGTCATCGCCTCGAACAGCCTCCTACAGTAAACTACTCCGTAGCACCCCGTTTCTTGGTTTGCAGTTGCTTCATTCGGCTTACATCACTGGTGGAAACATTGCGTTTATGTTCTTCGACGGATATAATGTCTCAGTTCGACTCACAATTAAACAAATACACGGCAACGTTCTCGATGTTTACATTCCCACAATGCATTTAAGTTGTAGAATGAATGAATTCACGTGTTTGTTATGAATGAAAAAATAGTTACGTCAGAATGTGACCCAATTGAGAGGTCATCGGTTATCCAATCAAATCGTTAGGATCTCAGGTCAAGTTACGACACAGGTCAACGCGATACGACACACGTGTGACGTACGAGATTAGTATGCAACTACCCATACGTTGACCACGTGGGTAATTAATAGTAGTACGTTGTGAAGTACGTGTTATATATATATAAGTGTTATAACATTCGGAATTCAAATTCAAAGGATTGTGATGAAAAAGAATTAGCATACTGGGACCTTTTTTTAATATTGTTTGTTTGCATATTCGAATTCATTCGCAAATTCGTGCCCTTCTTCCTCCGAACGGGTGAAGATTCCCGGGTACTTAAAACTGCGGAAATCAGTAATTATTAATCCTATTATAAATTTATGAAGAAAACAAAAATCGGACAATGCAAATCCATTTTTGCCGAAGACACCCCAACCCCCTCCACCCGCATTAAACCCGGCTTCTCATAACACAAACACCTGTGTCGGGTTGAAAGTGGGTTTTTCCAAAACTCCACTGGACACAGGTCCAGTAAACCGTTCAGTAAATCTTTATCAATTGGTAGCAATTGCATTCATCAAAATACATATATCAAAACATCTCAGTAGTTTGGCACTACTGTACCTACTAAGGTAAAGTCTAGTGTGGATATTTACTTGACCGACCGGAGAATTCTACACGACCCGAGCGTCGGGCAATAGTATTTTTCAACCCCTGAGTGTTAAATGGGAATCAGGTGGTAACCTGTTTGATTCCGTATTTTTTAATCGGGCTCAGATGGAGCCACGTAGTGCTCGTCAACCACTCTTTCATAATAGATTCGATTATCGATAAGCTTGATTATTGCTGAAAACATTCACATTTTGTATAGCTTCACCCTTCTATATATATAGCTTCTGTGCATACACACATGCAGAACAGATTTTATTTTTACCATTCACTCGCCGCAAATTTTAAAAAAAATGTGAGAAAGAAATAAAAAAATCATTTTATTGTGGCCTCAGAGATAAATGGTCTCTGGTGGCCTTAGCTTAGAATCTCCTGTCATAGAAAACTGTCATAGTTTTGCAAATCGTGTTCAAATTTATAATACAGCTTGTGTCAGCAATTAAAGTGTATGCTATGATGTCCCAACAAATGTAATCTATTCTGCTGTAGATCTACTTATTTATTCTGACGATACATGTAGCTGTTATATCTGTATTTTACATGTGATATCAGGGAGACTATATAAGGCCTGTTGTAGAGTATCCCTGGTGAAATGTACCCGAAATGATTTCTTACGAGAAGTGACACGTTCATTCACCAGCAATATTTTTAGAAATAATTTAGGAACCACAAGTGATTAATTTTGAAAATAACAATTTTCAGCCCCCCAAAACATTCGGACCCGAGATGAAAAATAACCCCAAATTTCAAGTCTGTGTTAAACACAAAACAAATCCTCCTGCCTCATAGTCGAAATCGTTAAACAGAGTTACCTCCCCTTTCAGGAGGCGTGATCGATTCCGGTTTTTACCCGCAGAGTTCCTTACATCTCTGTGAAATTATGAATAATGACCACGTTAATGAGTGCAGATGTATTTGTTGTCTTCCTGTCTCTCATCTGCACGATAGCGAATGCAGGTGAGTGTACGGCGAATAGAATCAGGGGCAGATACAGCTTGAGAAAAAGAGGGGTGCACAGTTCATTTTTACCCATTTTCACTAGTTTCAATGGTTCCTCCTACAGAATCTGCAGATGGACAACTATGCTGTTCCAATACCAAGGAAAGATGTAGAAAATCTAGCCCGTCCACAGGACTGGCAGGTCAAATACACCAGTCCTGCCAAATCTAGCAAATATAACTAAAACACCTTCGGCAGTAAATATTCAAAAAGGTTATAATCATTATATACCATTGGTTTGCTAAAATGACCCGACATGAGAACGGACTAGAATATTTTTAACCCGTCCTCCACAAAATTCACCCGTCTCGGACGATTGGGACGAGCTATCTTTCACACTGCAATAGCAACATTAAAAACAATTTAGCCCGTGTTCAGCATATAACTAGACTACTTTGTACGCTCTTAAGTAGGCCTGTTGGAATAATGCCTATTCATATGTCCCGTGTTCCTTGTACGCTCTTAAGGCTGTTAATAATGCCTTGTCCTATGTCCTTGTACGTTAGTATTTTTACGTAGGGTATCGATCAGAAGTCACAATTACGTCATTTAATTTTCTCTGATTGCTTTAAAACTGATTCCTGCAATATTGCTAATCCCGAGTTTAATCCCAGCTATCTAATTATGGTGTATGTGAATGTCAGTGTGAAAACTCATGCCATTTCATAATAATAAAACTAATAATAATGAAAATAATATAGAAAATCATTTTTTTCCAAATATATTTGTAAAAACATAGGTGAGATTAGTACAATGCTTAAGCCGTAAAGTAATTAGCATATTAAAGATTCTATCTGTTTCGTGTGAAAAGTGTTGTCAGGCATCACAGTTGAACTGTTTGTTGTTTACAGGTTTAATCAAGCCAAATGTCCTGTTCATTGTTGTTGATGATTTGCGACCAGCCCTAGGTTGCTATGGCAACAGTTTGATGGTCACACCTAACATTGACAACCTGGCTAGTAAATCAGTGTTGTTTAATAACACTTTTGTTCAGGTATGTAGAGAAAATTAATGTCCCAGTCTTTCATTACATTATATTGTCATGAAATTACATCCATAACCATTGTCTGTTCTTGTCTAACAGATTTTATGGGATATGTTCATGCTTAACAAAACTGTACATAGACTAACTGTACCTTAATATTTGTTCATTCATGAAGAATATTGTTTGTACAAATTATGTTGTTTCAGTTGTTTCTCCATTTTTCATAAATGTTTGGGTGTTTTACAGAGCAGCCAGTAACATTCCAGCGACATCAGTCAGCAAGACAAATTAGTGATTGATAGAATGAGCACCATGTTCACGCTGACGAGTCAGTGAACATGTCAGATGTCTCATTTATGTCAACTCTGAACACATTCAGTGGTACTACCCTAGAATCTCAACCATTTTAATGAAAGTATTCTTTTTAAAAATATGCATGCTTTCAGATGTATGTGGGGATATTTTCATTTCAAAGACAGGGATTGACAAATACACTGGTCCACTTGATAAACTCCTGAAAGCATGATCATTAATTTCAAAATGTTGGTCCCATGTAAACTTTCAATTCAACTGAAGTTTAACACACAGACAGTATACATGTCACTGTTTAATATAGGGTATTGGGACAGTGGGGTAGCCTAGTGATTAAAGCTTTATCTTGTCACGCCAAAGACCCAGGTTCGATTCCCCACATGGGTACAATGTGTGAAGCCCATTTCTGATGTTCCCCACCATGATATTGCTGGAATATTGCTAAAAGCGGTGTAAAACTTAACTCACTCTCTCACAAATATAGGGTATGTTGAGTGAAACTGGTTGTGGAACCACTGATGGGTCTGGTATTGGTCCTGTTAGTTACATGAAAGAAAATCATGTCTGTTGAGCCCTAAAAGTCAAGGGTTATATTTTTAATTTTTGTGTTAAGTTATAGTTTTATGATTTTTAACTGCGAACTCTTGAGTGTATGTATGTGCATGTCTTCCAGCAAGCTCTGTGTGGGCCTAGTCGGACATCTTTCCTCACCAGCCGACGCCCTGACACCACCCACCTGTACGACTTCTACTCCTACTGGCGTAAGGCAGCTGGCAACTTCACAACGCTGCCACAGCACTTCAAGCAGAATGGCTACTTCACACAGTCAGTCGGCAAAGTGTTCCATCCAGGTAGGAATAGAGGACAGTTGAACAGCCAGGGTTATGGGACATCTATGTTCAATGTATATCAGCTAGGGACAATGTTCAATGCCTAGAAACAATGTTGAACACTTATGGCGTGTGTGGAACGTCTAGGGACAATATTAAACAGCTAGAGACAATGTTGAACATCTTGGGACAATGTAGAACTCCACGGAATATGTTGAACATCTTGGGACAATGTAGAACTCCACGGACAATGTTGAAGACTAGGATGCATGGATTTATTCTAGGGACATTGTTGGTCATAGTTGGACAATGTAAAACAGCTAGGTACAATGCTGAACACCTTGAGACAATGTAGAACAGCCAGGGACAATGCTAACCACCTTGAGACAGTGTTGAACACTTTAGGATGCATGGAATATTTATGGACATTGTTGGTCATAGTTGGACAATGTAGAACAGCTAGGGACAATGCTGAACACATTGAGACATTGTAGAACAGCTAGGGACAATGCTGAACACCTTGAGACAATGTAGAACAGCCAGGGACAATGCTGAACACTTTGAGACAATGTAGAACAGCTAGGGACAATGCTGAACACCTTGAGACAATGTAGAACAGCCAGGGACAATGCTGAACACCTTGAGACAATGTTGAACACCCGGAGACAATGTAGAACTGCTGAACAGCTAGGGACAATGCTAACCACCTTGAGACAATGTTGAACACCTCGAGACAATGTAGAACAGCTAGGGACAATGCTGAACACCTTGAGACAATGTAGAACAGCTAGGGACAATGCTAACCACCTTGAGACAATGTTGAACACCTCGAGACAATGTAGAACAGCTAGGGACAATGCTAGCCACCTTGAGACAATGCAATGCTGAGCTGTACAACAGCCAGGCACAATGCTGAACACCTTGAGACAATGCTAGAACAGCTAGGGACAATGCTAATTGAGACAATGTAGAACAGCCAGGGACAATGCTGAACACCTTGAGACAATGTAGAACAGCTAGGGACAATGCTGAACACCTTGAGACAATGTAGAACAGCTAGGGACAATGCTAACCACCTTGAGACAATGTTGAACACCTAGGGACAATGCTGACCTTGAGACACCTTGAGACAATGTAGAGACAGCCAGGGAACAATGCTGCTGAACACCTTGAGACAATGTTGAACAGCTAGGGACAATGCTGAACACCTTGAGACAATGTAGAACAGCTAGGGACAATGCTGAACACCTTGAGACAATGTAGAACAGCCAGGGACAATGCTGAACACCTTGAGACAATGTAGAACAGCCAGGGACAATGCTGAACACCTTGAGACAATGTAGAACAGCCAGGGACAATGCTGAACACCTTGAGACAATGTAGAACCAGAGACAATGTTGAACACCCCGAGACAATGTAGAACAGCTAGGGACAATGCTGAACACCTTGAGACAATGTAGAACAGCCATGGACAATGCTGAAAACCTCGAGACAATGTATAACAGCTAGGGACAAGCTGAACACCTTGAGACATTGTTGAACAACTGGGGACAATGCTGAATACCTTGAGACAATGTAGAACAGCCAGGGACAATGCTAACCACCTTGAGACAATGTAGAACAGCCATTGACAATGCTAACCACCTTGAGACAATGTAGAACAGCTAGGGACAATGCTGAACACCTTGAGACAATGTAGAACAGCTAGGGACAATGCTAACCACCTTGAGACAATGTAGAACACCTAGGGACAATGCTGAACACCTTGAGACAATGTAGAACAGCCAGGGACAATGCTGAACAGCTTGAGACAATGTTGAACAGCCATGGACAATGCTGAAAACCTCGAGACAATGTATAACAGCTAGGGACAAGCTGAACACCTTGAGACATTGTTGAACAACTGGGGACAATGCTGAATACCTTGAGACAATGTAGAACAGCCAGGGACAATGCTGAACACCTTGAGACAATGTAGAACAGCCATTGACAATGCTAACCACCTTGAGACAATGTTGAACAGCCAGGGACAATGCTGAACACCTCGAGACAATGTAGAACAGCTGGGGATGCAACAGGAAAGGACCTGTTGAACACCTAGGCCAGAATGTGTTAAACAGTTAGGGACAAAACAGAACTAAACTATTTCAAACTTTGTTAAAGACAGACATTGTCCTCAATGGGTGTTCAGCACAAAAAGTCACAAATAGCATACCCGTAACTATCTACCTGTATGATCCAACATGTTTTATGGTCATGACGCAGGTGTGTCATCTGGCCACACAGACGACTACCCCTACAGCTGGTCTGTACCGGCCTACCATCCCCCAACACAAGCATACAAGATGGCCAAGGTTTGTGTCAATAGGCTACTTGTAGCATGCACGTACACTTGTACTAGCCAGGGTTTGAACTTCCTTGTACCTAAGTGCCAATCTAATATGTAAATTCATAAAAGTACAGGTAAAATGTTTTTCTAAGATGAAAACAGCGTTAAAGTTATCGTAACTCGTAACTTTGATGCTGCAATATTCAAGCAGTATGGCCGTTTGTAAATAATCAGGTATGGACCAGACAATCCAGTGATTGACTTGAGCATTGATCTATGCATTTGGGATTCGATGACATGCGTCAGCCAAGTCAGTGAACCTGACAACATGTACCACAAGCATGGATTGCTGATGACCAAATTCTAATTAGTGTCACAGATTAAGCAGTAGTGAACATGGTAATATGAAGTCAAGGTATAAAACACACCATGAAGAATTTCTGTCAGATCAGGGTGGTGGGGTAGCGTAGTGGTTAAAGCATTTGTTTGTCACGCCAAAGACCCAGGTTCGATTCCCCACATGGGTACAATGTGTGAAGCCCATTTCTGGTGTCTCCGCTGTGATATAGCTGGAATATTGCTAAAGCCTCCTAAAACTAAACTCACTCACTCTCTGATCAGGTATGTCCTGGACCCAAGGGCAACGTGTACATGGACATAGTGTGTCCTGTGACTGTCAAGGACCAGCCTGGAGGATCTCTGCCAGACATACAGAGTCGGGAATTTGCTGTCAACTTTCTCAAAAACATGTCAGCCAATCACAGCCAGCCCTTCTTCCTGGCAGTGGGCTTCCATAAGCCCCACATACCACTCAAATACCCGAAGGAGTTCAGGGGTAAGGAGAAAACAATAGTATTCTGTGACTTCCCATGTCGATTCCTTATCTCAAAATGAGATTGTTTGTGGTATTGATAGGATGTAGTATTTACTAGGGCTGCGCAATATAACCGGTTTACCGGTAATTACCGTTCAGACATGAAATCGATATGTATTGCGATACGCTGATCGAAAACCGGTATTTCAAATGCATTCGGAAAACTTCATAACACTCAGAAATCTTTGGATATTTCCGTTTTTCACACCGGAAGTCAAGTTAAGTTCGGTTTGAAGTTGTGTTATTAAATTTTGTTCAAGTGTTTCGCAATGTTTTGGATCTGAATGTTTTAAATATTTACTCATTAACGACCAGTGATCTCTGATATGTACCGACCAGGTCAAGTTGCTGTCTAATATCTCAGGGCTTTTTTTTTGAGTGGAGAAAGTAGTTCAAAATAGTAACCACTGTCTTAATGCTAAATTGTTCTTATCCTTGTTTCATATATGACATATGTAAAATTTTGCACATTTTCCCTTTAGACCATACTAAATTGCCTTCAGATGAATTTTGAAATATTGTATTATTGGCATCCAGCCAAAGATACGATCCAGCATGACACTCTATATTTGTAGATCTGTACCCTCTAAACAAGATCCACCTGGCCCGCCATCACACGTTTCCCCTACGGCTCCCCCTGGTGGCATGGAACCCGTGGACGGACCTGAGAGAGAGGGATGACGTAAAGAGTCTCAACCTCAGCTTCCCATTCGGACCTGTCACCAAGGACTATCAGGTCCTCCCCCTTGCTGTATATTGTATGTAAACTATGTCAACTGATAAGCCAGAACTACCAGGCTGTCGTTTTGTTACAGAAGACAAAAGAAAATCATCACCTACCCTTGAACTAGTATCTTTTTCCTTTAGGTCTGCATTATTTTGAGTTATTAGTTTAAAAACACTTCTCCTCTGAAAATCTGGTATCGAAATGTAATTGTAAGAAACATGCCCAATGTCTTATGGTCTTGAACTTCTGGTGAAAAACGAATACACATTTCCATGTCTGGTTCTACTCCCTAAGGAGATTCTGAAGTCTATGTACACAGTAAGAGTCAACCAAATGGATTGGGGGCTTGTTGAAGATGAACAACTCCTGTATTACAATAAGGCAGATTTTTCTGTGTACGTTCTAACAGTGTTATCAGGCAAGTGATGATGATCTTAACTGATACATAACTCGGGGCTCCAGTTAAGGACCGTATCGGTGTATGTACGGATAAAAAATATGCAAGATATGGTAGGAAATAATTTAGAAAACATAGGAGATACGCACCACAGCAATGGTGTACAGTCTTAGTATCAATTACAGACTTATTTATATAAAACATATCAGTCTGATTTCAAGCAGTCTCCCATATTTGAATTTACGTGATAGCAACACATTGGGGTTTTCCTTGTCGTATTTTGGGAATTCCGGTTGCTAAGGAAACCGCGTACTGCTGCGAATCATCTCGGACTAAAATTGATTGGTCAATATTACGCATGTGTATGTAAACATGGCGGCACAGAAACAAAAGTCTCTCAGAAACAAGACTGCCTCAACAACTTTTAAATGGTCACATAACCAAATTACGAATAATGAATGAACTAGTGTCACTCGTTCATCTTGTCATAGTCACACTCCATTCAATTCATTTGAGAACTGGAAATGTACTCTTAAGTTTTTCCAGTATTCCTATTTTGAAAAATTATAGAGTACGTACTCTTGATGTTGAAAAATTATCTGGAGCCCTGTTACTTATTGTAATGTAGAAGTTCTTCTTCAGTATAACTTATCCTACTTAATGAAGATCAGGAGGTTGCGAGAAGTGGCCTGGCTGATAGTGCGCCATTGTACCCTCACAAGTGGAAGGTGGATCAGGCTGAGAATAACTGGTTCGTCTGGCTGCTGTGATGTGTAGCTGTGATGTGACTGCTGTGTAACGGGTGAAACTTTTTTGCAGCTGTTGATGCGGCAGAGCTACTACGCTGCCACCAGCTACATGGACAGCCAGGTGGGACTGCTGCTTGATGCTCTGCACACACACGGCTTCTCCAACAACACCATCGTGGTTCTTGTCGGGGACCATGGTAAGTGGCGCTGTGCAGATATTATGCAGTGGAGCATACTGAAGAAAAGACTACATTGTCTCATGCTTATGTCGTAGGCAGTTCTGAATGTAATTTTTTAGAGTTCTTGCAATTTTAGATGCCAGTATACAAGCTGGCCCCAAGCCTTATTTAATAAGTCTCATTGAGTGTAGTGTTCAGTGGAACATTCTTAAGAACAGGTGCTCTATTTGGGGTGTATTTGGCAGATGTATATTTAACCTCATTGGCGGATCCAGAGGGGGAGTTCAGGGGGTTCGAACCCCTCCACTTTGAAAATGACTTAAGACCACATTGAAGATTTTTTTTGCATTGGCAGAGCCAATGGGGTTCAGGGGGTTCGAAAACTTTCAAAATTCCTGGATCCGCCCATGAACCTTCAATCTCAGCATGAGGGAAAGGAATGACATGTGTTCATGTGCTCTTAAGTAACTGTACTGAAATACATTAATAAATGAAATATGTTACACTGCAAATGCAATCAAATATTTGTGCATGTGAAGCAAGATAATGCCACTTGATGGTGTGGTATTTTAACTGATTGTTGTGTAGAATTTGTTTAGCAAAGTTGGGACAAATATGTCCATAGTTTTACAAGCATATACTGAAGCTTACATTACCTATTAAATTTTTGTCTCTTAGTTGGTACTCCTCTGAGGTGTTGTTGAAATAAGATCAGATGTTAAGACATGAGCTGTATTATTCATGTCTGGAAACTTTGTACTAGATAACTGATTATAGTCTGTTTGCGGTGAAAACGTACCGATGAATTTCACTTCAAACAAAAATGTAAATCAAATAAAGAGAAATTAATATTGCGAATCCTCATAATTTTACCTTGCCATTTGAAATTTAAATCTCAGATTTTTATTCATCTTAGGATAAAAGTTGTTTAACAAACGATCATAGTTTCAAATCGCTATTATTGGTTTGTATTACAAGGGGGTATGCACATTAAATGAAACACCGAGAACAAGAAGGGTTGGTCTAAGTTAACGCTCATCACGTACCGTACGTGGATTTGTTTCACTGTTCCAACTACTGCGCTTACCCCCTTGTAATACAAACCAATATAAGCGATTTGAAACAATGATCGTTTGTTAAACAACTTTTTTCCTAAGTTGAATAAACGTCTAAGATTTAATTTTTAAATTAGAAAGGTAGAATTATGAGGATTCGCAATCTTAATTTCACTATTCGATTTACATTTTTTTTAAGGGAAATTCACCGGTACGTTTTCACTGCAAACAGACTATACCTTTTAAACGCTTGAGATAAATGAATCACAGGCGTGTCGGAGCAGAAAGGAGATGCTTTTGTAAAACTGTGGACAAGAGGACCTCTAATCTGTTCCTGTGTGACACATTTCATTCTCATGACATCATAGAGTGACACCCCTTTGCTGTGCCAGGATCCTGTGACTATTGTCTCCCTAACTATTATCCTTGGTTTGCCAGCATTTGCACTTGTAGTTTCAGTATTGTTATAAATGTCTCACTGCATACTTACCTGTCAGTTGACCTGTCTTGATGTAACTGATATACTGTTCAAAGTGGAGTTGAACCACACACTCACTCACTCACTCTTGTTCACAGGTTGGTCCCTCGGTGAGCACCAGGAATGGTCCAAGTACAGTAACTTCGAGGTGTCAGTCCGAGTGCCACTCATTATACATGTTCCAGGGCTTACCGACAAACACACAGACACGACCTTCCAGTATCAAGATCCTTTAAAACAGGTTCACATCAAAAATCAAAATCACAACGGATCAAATCTTGTTCAAACACAGCGTAAAAAAATTGATTCACAGAAAAATTACGTCAAGGAATATAATGTCATCAGATCTAAAGAATTTTCACAGAAGAAATACAATGTTTCCAATGACTTGATTGAGCTAGTGGACCTGTTTCCGACAATATCGGAACTGGCCGGACTGCCCGTGCCATCAACATGTCCGCCAAATCCCTTCAAGATTGACCTCTGTACAGAGGGATCTAGTGCTGCTAAGATAATCAAAAAGATATATCACACTGATTCATCCAGACAGAAAACCGGACTGTCATGGAAGAGTGCAGTGTTCAGTCAGTACCCGCGTCCGTCAGTGGAGCCGCAAGAAAACAGTGACAAGCCCCATCTGAAGGACATACGCATCATGGGGTACACGATGAGGACCCAGCAGTATCGATACACTGAGTGGGTCCAGTTCAATCCTGCAACGTTCCACATGAACTGGTCTCAAGTGTATGGGACAGAACTGTATTTCCGGGACTCAGACCCAGATGAGGCTGACAATATGGCCTACTTTTCCTCTTATGCTGAGCTGAGATCAAGTCTGTCTCGGGTCCTGCATGAAGGTTGGAGAAGTGTGTTACCAACATGATATTGTACTCATTTGTTGTATTTATGAGAGACCAAATTTTCAAAAAATAATACTTTTGCTGAAATCAAACCCGGGTCTTTGGTTTGACAAACGAATGCATTAACCACTAGGCTACTAGGCTACCATGCTGCCCCTGTTTATAGAAATGATAAATGTCAGTACAAGAGAATAATTAGTCTTGATTATCAGCCCAAATAATTGGTCCAAACACATTCCATTTGGCTTAAAGGACTTACTAGCTGTGTTAATCATGTTCATGGTTTGCTAATAATCATTGGTGAGGCCAAGTGTTTGTGAAATGGGTACTCATGTCCTTACCAGTACTAGTCATCTTTTACATAATTTGCATAAAAAAGTAATTATGCTTTGCTGGTTTAATAGATTTCATGTTAAGCAGGGTTTCTGCTCTGCATCTCTTGCCACTTTGACTCATTTAAGTTTTTGTTAAAGGTCACATGCAACCAAAAAATCAAACATAATTAAAACACAATTATCACTTCTTCATGACATATAATATGCATTGCTGATTATGAAAAAACAAATAAACAAAATTATAAGCGTATAATCGCAAATCAAAAGTGCAATATTTTGTACTTGGGTTTACCTCCCTCGAAACGAAGCAGCCGGATACCGAACCCAGTCAGAGCGGGTGGGTGTGCACTCAAGTGTAACGGCTGGTTCATTGGCAGATGCTGCCTTCACGGCTCATTGTGTGTGTATATATAGAGATGTTGGGTTTTGTAAATACATGCTCATTTTTTGTGTATAACATTTTGCAATCAACAGACATCATAACATGTCATGTGTTCAAGTATCACACCTGCCTGTCTGTGTAATTACATAATGTGACAGAGACCGCTTTTCGGGCCATAAATCAATGCGTTTTGTCTATGGTGTATAGCCTGATTGGTGTTAAGTTCAAATTGCATGTGGTCAGTGATCGCAGTTGTGTATTGAATATTGTCATTAGCAGACAGGCAGGCAGACACACAGGTGTCAATAAAACAAGACATTGAGTTTTGTCTGTGACAGCGACATATCTATATCACAGTTAGAAATTGTGTCAACGCTAAATAATGACATTGCTTTTAAGTATCGAACTGAGAAAGTGACTCGGTAAGAAGAGCGTGTGGTGAAATAGACAAATGAAATTATATAAACAGTTTATTTACTGTCATAACATATAAAAGCTTCAGCGCCTGTGAGATATCAACAAAACATTATGAAAATAGCTCACACCAAAGCCTTCACCGAGTACTAGTATTCACCAGACAGCCCGCTTCCAAGTTCTTGTAGAACCTATTTCACTGTGCAAGTCTGGAAAAAATTAGTGAAACGTTTTAACTCCGATTTCACGCGTTTTTTTTCATCGCGTTATTTTTCAACTTTATAAGCTGAATTTGCATTTTTGACGATTTGTTTCGGTAAGTCCATACCGAAAGGTATCAGAATCTGCAAAGTTGTGTTTTACGTTGCATGTTACCTTTAAGTATGTTTTAAAGTCTTTGTTAAGGAATGAATCACTGTGAATGCTTGGTTGAATTAATGTTGTTATAATAAAGTTCTTGTGTTTGATGACCAACCTAGCTTTACATTTTGTTCCCTTGATACCTGAAGACTGGAAAGTAAATACTTAATCTAGTCTCATTTATGTGCCAAACCATCATTTGTCACCCTTCATCTGATTGGCTTTTGTCTCTACCATGTACCAAACCATCATTTGTCACCCTTCATCTGATTGGCTTACCATGTACCAAACCATCATTTGTCACCCTTCATCTGATTGGCTCAACATGTGCCAAACCATCATTTGTCACCCTTCATCCAATTGGTTTGACATGTACCAAACCATCACTGTACTGTTTTATCAATTTGTATGACTTCCATTACTGGTTTTTATTTCCTAACTTCAACTGTATGTATTAACACAGCAATATATTGACATTTATTCATCAAACCATGACATGTTTTATATTCTATCTGCTTCTGAATAGATCTCTGATTGTCTAAAACTTTAATAGCCAGCATTACAAAAAGTGAACAGTCATATTTGTATGAGACTGTGATAATGAATTGGCTACATGGTTTTATCAGGTTCCCTAATGAGACTATTTTACTTTATCAGGTTTTTTTGTAAGTTTTTGAAATATACTTTTCATTGAAATACTTTTTTCTGTTGTTACTTGAAATTTTAATGTGATAAAATTTACATACTGTAATACAGGGTACCAGTGAAGATCTGGGTTAGAATTGGTCTTCAGAAACCCATGCTTGTCGTAAGAGGCGACCAACGGGATTGGATGGTCAGGCTGGCTGACTTGGTTGACACATGTCATCGCATCTCAAAAGCGATGCCCATGCTGTTGATCACAGGATTGTCTGGACCAGACTCGATTATTTACACACCATGTAATTTGCATATTGCTAAACAACAAACCAACATACAAGGTCATGTGCAGAATTATTAGAAACCGAAACTATATATATTGCTTTAACTCACCCCTCTGAAAGAGATTTGAATCTGGTTTTCAGTATGGCCACCGTGACAACCATGCTTATTTTGTTACTGGTGCATTCTGGTTGGAAATATAATCAGATTTGATATGTTTAGTTTGTTTAGGGATTCAAGGCACGTTTGAAAGTATGAATATAACTGCTGAGAGCAACTGTCATCAGTGACAATCGTCAGTGTTGTCATGGTAATTAAATATTCATGTATTCAGGTGGGCTACAGTGCCGAGCACTACCTTTTTTTCCCCTACTGAATGTCATTCAGTAACACTCCCCTTACACTTGAACATACACAAAGGCAGCAGGTGCTTTTAAACAAAAGCCAAACATAATTTCGCCTCAGGGTTTACAAGAAAGGAAATGCAATGGACGTCAAAAAGCCGGACGACCATTCCGCGGTTTAAGTTTATAGACTCATTTATTAGTGTTGAATAAGTCAAATTCTACCCCTAAAAAGTGAAGTGGCGCGTACCAAACATGTAGACATTGGTTCATTTTTTCGTTGGATCAATTTCCCATATGGGTACAATTTGTGAAACCTGTTTTTGGTGTCCCTTCGCTCACTCGCTCCACCAATATACGACCATTGGATCTTACGAGAGGACCCGTGAAGGTCCGGGTTAGAATGAGCCTTCAGTAACCCATGCATGTCGTAAGAGGCGACTAACCGGATCGGGTGACCAGGCTCGCTGGCTTGGTTGACACATGTCATCGGTTCTCAATTGCGCAGATCGATGCTCATGCTGTTGATCACTGGATTGTCTGGTCCAGACTAAGTTATTTACAGACCGCCGCCATATAGCTGGAATATTGCTGAGTGCGGCGTAAAACTAAACTCACTCACTCACTCTTACGAGAGTTTCATTTTTGTAGTTTATAATGCATGTATTTTATGTCGGTGATTGGGTTCATGGGTAAACTTAAAAGACTATATAGTATTCTCATTGCCTGATATTTGTAAGCATCAATAGAACACGATTACCAAGCGTAAATTGACTCAATAACTCTGGGTTATTTAAATTGACTCAATAACTCTGGGTTATTTAAATATATGCCACCCAAAAGAACTTACAGAACATACAGTGCTTTCATGTGCATATGAAACAATCGGGTGTTATTTTCCTTCCTTTGACAAGTATTTACAGCACTTGATTGCATACATTCCACAGACGGCGCCCCTACTTTAATAAGGTTGTAATGGCGTTTGCGTGACTCACCACATACGCTTTCTGTTCAGACAGGGGTGATACACACTCTGCTTCGTGTTTCAGGGGGCGGTGGGGTAGTCTAGTGGTTAAAGCGTTGGCTCGTCACGCCGAAGACCCGGGTTCGAATCCCCACATGGGTACAATGAGTAAAGCCCATTTCTGGTGTCCCCCGCCGTGATATTGCTGGAAAATTGCTAAAAGCGGCGTAAAACCAAACTCAGTCAGTCGTGTTTCAGAAGTAGAAATAGGCAGGATTTAATCTGAAGCAGATTGTGGACAAACATGTCTGTGTGGGTTCATTAATAATGGACATTTTACAGTTAGCTCGTCACGCCGAAGACCCGGGTTCGATCACCCCACATGGATACAAGCCCATTTCAACCCTGATATTGCTGGAATATTGCTGAAAGAGGCGTAAAACAATACTCACTCACTTTGCCATTTAACAGCGAACTCAAATTCACGATATGTGAATCTTAACTTCAAGTAATATAAGTCTTGAAGTCAAGAAATATCACTATAACACTGAGCTATATGTTCTTATCCTTCTTTATGTCAACAAGTACGCCATCTTGCTCATTATTTTATGTAAATATGTAAATTATAGGATGAATTTTACGTGGCCTTGTAATAAACGATTGTACAAAAAAGGATTTCTTTCAAATTTCAAAACACAAATATCAGCACATTCATGATGTCCGAAATGACGGCGGATATCCTGTGAACAGTTGTATGTGTTTTGAGAAATCGTAATAACTGTTTTGTTTGTTACTTAACGCCGCCCTCAGCAATATTCCAGCTTTGTGACAGCAGTCTGTACATACTCGAATCTGGACCAAACAATACTGTGACTGACGTCGTCATCATCTATAAACTGGTTTTGTGCAGACTCTCGCTTTCAGTCAATAGCTTTCCTTTGTCTAGGCACCATCATTATGGGCAGTCGTGAATATTGCTGATAACGGATTTAAAAAAGAACACTCATTCCCTAAAAGTTTCATGTCCTTCCATATGATTCCCGTGCAGCGTATGTAAAAAATGCGCCGTTCCATACCCTTGGAAAGGTTTTGCTGAACTTGTGAGACCCAAATTTGTCTCAAACATATATAAAATGGCATTGTGTAATCAGATATATCGAATTAATTTTCCCACACGTTCCCTTTACTGTTATATTTCTATTATTATTTTCAAACAATACATTAACATCTCATTTCTATGGTGGAATGAGGGCTTTGTTAGTCTGTCTCAAAAGTCCCCGAACCACATTATTTTCCCTTCCGCCCTTTCTGCAATGCTTAAACCCTAAATGATACAAGTCTAGATTTCCTCGGGTCCTGAATCTCCTCTCATTGGGGCTCATTTTCAATTCAAAAGTAATTATTTGTTTCTGCCAAAACTATATATATTCAGAGACTAAGAGTTAGTCTTGGATTTTGTTTCGTTGTGTAGTTCCATCACGTTCGTCGTGAGCAGGCCGTTCGGTGCTATGAGTCACCATGGCCCAGCTGTCTCGTCAGTAAGCACACGGCGTATATTGATGGAGAAATTGAGTCCGGAGCGAAAATCAGTGTTGACAGGTGGTCTCCTCAATTATATTCATATGTGTCACAGGTTTAGATCTGTGTATCGGGCACGCATATACATGATATACCACGCTTAGAAAATAGGCCTATCTGTGTGTTTTTTCTAAAAAAGACTTTTAACGTCAAAAAGATCCCCAATGAGATGGGAGATTGAGAATCTGTTCAAACACGAAGAAAATCTTTTCTCGCTTTATTTATGGTTTTTATATTACAGATACAGGTTGGAAGGGAAAACAGACTCTGAGAAGCACTACGGGTGCAGGCGCATCGTGCAGACATGCTTGAGCAGACGACATCGTTAAATGCCTGAGTGCCGCTTGTGATGCGTGCAACAGGTGGAGCAGGAGGTATTTTCTCGAACACCTGTTATCATAGCGATTCATAAAAACACATGCTTATAATCGGAATCCTAAATGAACTGTGCATTAAACAGTTATTTTTCAGATTATGGAAATGACTTTGCCGCTTCTATTTTGTACCTCAGTCAGCAATAACTTTCCATCTTCTCATGGTAAGGGAGATAACTGACCATAAAGATCCCTGGTACCAAGGAATTCCGTCCTTCCGTCCGTTCGAAGTCATTTTTATACGGTGTAGGCCCGGGAAAGCGAAATTTCAATATTCCCTATTCCCGGTAAAGCGAAAACCAAAGTTGTGCTAGAAGTGCTGCGAAAGCGAATTGCTATGAAAACATGGGATTACCGTACTTCAGATTAGCGCGCAACCCCAATACTCGTTTTGAGAGCCGCTTAACTGAGATGAAGTTTCAGTTGTTTCAAGTTTCAGCACGTACGTGACCCTACTTAACTATAGTTTTATTAATCCATGTAATGTTAATCCACCTTATTGTTCCTGGCCGAATATGTCAAAGCTCCGTCAACTTTTTTTCAAATAAAATATCTACTCTTAAAATGTATCCAAGTTCATTTAAAGATTGTTTGTAAACACTTTAATTGATGTATCATTTAGTCATCTTGTTGTACATTTTGTATGTAGGCTACTCCTTTGTTGTACTCATGTACCACCGATATCTGTTTTCCCGCGTGAGCGGGCATATCATTGTGAACTACCTGTTACTGAGGGAAGTTGATCTGTATCATAAATTGTAACTATGTAATGCGTATAACGAATTGAGTGCCTTTGAATTAAGTGCTATGACATTCTCTGTTTTTACATAACAATGTCATGAATAAATATGTTTTTAAAATAAAACTCATTTGGACTTTGGACTTTAAATGTTTATGAATGCAGGCTTGATTTCGTCACTAAATGGCTGGAATAATGCCGATGTGACGTAAAGCCCAACTCAACTCAACTCAACCTTTCTGGCACTCCACGACCAAGCATAAAGAGTAGTGTTTATTATCCCCTCAAATGCTAGAAATCTCCACATTCCTATCGATTGTGTGTTTAAATGTTTTGACTGCATGATCCTACCAATCATGTTATATGGTTGCTAGGTGTGGGGACATTCAAATATAGACATGTTCACAGGTTATTCATGAAATCTGTCCTGAAACTACGCAAGAGTACACACACCATCCTAAATGCTCTACGGAGAGACTGGGCGAATTCCCATCCCTGTATATATTAAACAGTGAATCATTTCAGTTTGGTTTTACCTTGCTACTAATGTACATCAAAAAAGAAATGTCAGTTATAATTCCAGTGTTTTATCACAAATGCTAGAAAATAATATACATGCTTCACCATGGTTTGCTAATGTTAAACGTATTTATTTATTTATATATTAAATTTCGTCTACGGTATCAGACGACGACTCACATTTCTTTGTTTTTTCCTGTGTATTGAGAGTCCCGGGAACGCTAAATTCTGTGTTCACTGTAGCTTGACCGTTCCCGCGAAAGCGACACCTAAATTGAGGAGGTCTGGTCCAGATTTCGCTTTCCCGGGCCATAACCTTTTATACAACCAATAATTATGGAACTACAGCATTAGTCTATGTGACTATAACCTTCTAGCGCCTAACAGGCAGCTCGGATTATCCGGGGTAATAATGTGTGATGCGCTTTGAGCATACTTTCATGGCGAGGAGACAGCGCAATATTAATGCCATAATTTCTAAGTATTATTGTTGTTGGATTGTTTTGGGGGACTACCTCCTTTGTCTAAAGGAGAGGTGCAGTGCGTATTTTGCCTATGATAATTCTTTTTTTAAAAGAATTACATCAAATTACAAATTTTAACTCAGAAATGTTTGTTCAACCAATAGCTTAAAAAACTACGGGCCACCTTCTTTGTCTAAAGGAGAGGTGCAGTATACTGCAGATATGTGTATTTTTGTAAAGAATAACGTTTGATTGTTGGTAAGTGAAGTTGATCATGACCGGGGGTATAAGTGAGCCTTGCTCGCAGTTTTTGGCTTGTTATGGTAAGATAAGAAGATGGCAACTTTTTAAAACGTCACAGCGGCCTGTGAATATGCCAGTCCGAGCCAGACACATTGTGGAACATTGGTTGACAGCATGACTCATGACGTCGGACTCTGAAGGCACAACCAGTCAGGTCACGTCAGTGCTAATTGTACTCGGTTCCTACTAGACTAACGCTTAGTCTCTGAATATTTATATATATAATTTTGATAGTAAAAACTTGAAAAGGAGCCCCAGGCAGACCAGAGATTCAGAACCTGAACCTGGGAAAATCTAGACTTGCTTTAAATGGGTCTTTGACATTGCAGATCTCGAGACGGCTAGGCAGTAGGGAAAATAATGTGGTTCAGGGACTGTGAGACAGACTAGGTTCCTACCATCCTCGATAATCTCCAGGGTACGTTACGATCACTCTCCACTATATCGTAACGTATACCCTGGAGATTATCGAGGATGGGTTCCTACGAGAATGAGTGAGTGAGTGAGTTTAGTTTTACGCCGCTTTTAGCAATATTCCAGCTATATCACGGCGGGGGACACCAGAAATGGGCTTCACATATTGTACCCATGTGGGGAATCGAACCCGGGTCTTCGGCGTGACAAACGAACGCTTTAACCACTACGCTACCCCACCGCCCCTCCTACGAGAAACCTGAACATGTTCTAACCCGTAATCCCACGGGAAAGAATGAACTTATACTCTTCGCTGTATGTGTCCAACATTGACAAAATGGTACATAGTGAAAGGAAACTTTCGTTAATATTTGTTTGGCAGTGTTCCATACATAATTTACAATTTGATTCTTATTGTAGGTGTATGAAGACAAACATTTTTCTTTTTATTAAAGATTTTCCTTATTGCAACAAAGTAAGTATTTTACAGTTGGGTAAGTTTCAATTTGCATGCATATACAAGTTCACATCTGCCTAACGTAATACACATTGATGTTTTCCGATTGATGCAAAATGTTGTGAAATCCTGATCAACTATTTGCGGTGAGAAAGGTTGGCCGTCTCGGTGGTCCAGTGGATAATGGCTAAAGTCGGTGGTTCGATCCCCAACCCGCGTCATACCAAGAAGCGTTAAGAGATGGTACTTGTTGTTACCTTGCCTGGTCGTCGTCAGTGAGTGAGTGAGTGGATATGGTTTTACGCCGCTTTTAGTGAAATTCCAGCAATATCACGGAGGGGGACACCAGTAATGGGCTTCGCACATTGTACCCATGTGGGGAATCAAACCCGGATCTTCGGCGTCGTCATTCTGGCAATGGAATTAGTAATGGTTGGCTTGGAGTCATTACACTGAGTTTGGTATCCAACAGCTATATGCTAGCACTATAAAAAACTGGCATTAGTTCTAAACATCACCTCGACTTAATCCGAAGGTGCGACATGATCGAATGGATATTCACTCACTATTAGCTATGATTTTCTCACACCTCTTACAAGGTAATGTGTAAAGCAGCTTCTCATACCAACTGATCTCTTCCCAATGTGAAGGTTGGAGATGACAGTTGCAAGTAATTCTGTTGTTGTGTTTGTGAGGTGTTATGAACGTGCATGCAAACTCAAAGCATTGCCTACTTCGTACTCTGCTGTAGGGAGTAGACCGTAACTTCCGCCAAATCAACGCATTATCCTTTTGCCTCAAATAGTTCGTGAACACATATGCTATCACGGGGTAGTTTCAAAGATGATAATGTATTAATTGGCACCAATATAATACCATGTTATAATATTGTAAGATGTTAACTGTAAAGAATCATGGCGTTACTTTCGGTAATTCAATATACATATCCATACGACGGAAAATCGCCGGAAGGACAAGTGAATTAAAAAGATGGCTGCCTCGGTACTTGTCCACGAGAGATTACTAAATGTAAATAATATTTTTGCCTTCTCGTGGTGTCGGGAACATCTTTTAGATTTTTGATAGCCGAGTTATGTCCTAATATTCAAAAGGTAGTAGGTAAAGGGACTGTCTGTTTGTAAAACTGTAGTTAGATGCTAGTAAACTGAAAACATATGGATTGTTTTGATTTTGTGTACGATCTGACAGGAAGCAAATGGAAAATTCTGGTAGAAATCAAACTAGAGGAACACGACGTTGGCTTTTCTCAATAGTCAACTTTGCGTGGCTTACAATAAACAACTGTCCGGCCAGTAACTCCGAACATAACTGAACATTGGGGTGAAGCTTAAAGTAGATGGTGCGACAGTACCCGATATAGATTGCGATGGTTGAGCGATAGATGTACGCATTACGACTCCGTTAACTCTCTTCTGTGTAAAAATGTTTATGCCACCTACACCTAGACTGACAAGATGTTGCTATCAGCCATTTGCTGTCTATTTGACTTGTGACTTGTCAATTTATGCTGTAACAGTTAAATGCCACAGGAAGCTGGTGTTATAAATAGCTGCACTTGGTTTTATCTTCCTATTACATCCTCTTCTTATAAGGTTAGCTGGACTACTGATATTTACCAAAGTTTCTGATTCCAATTTGGCCTAGCACCATGTAAGTAGCAAATTAAATTTGCCAGAACAGTGTCCGATATGTTGTTTCATGTTTAATAATGTGTTGTTTTCCCTATATTTCAAGCTCCTACAAACAGCATCATGGAAACACAAGGGATTTCATGGGTTTATCATTGGGCGCCAAAATAAATCTACTGTAGAAGCATTATTCAGTACATATTGTCGATCAGTTGATGAAGAGATTGTAACGGATACAGCAAGACGATCACAACAACTTCTTCCAGGAGGTAATGATGTCACTGACACATTATAAAGATGTTGGAAACTTACATAAGGATATTGTCAAAACAGCCAAACCTCAACATATATCAGGAACTATTCCAAACAGCCATTTAAAAGTCAAAACGGCCAATAAAAAATACAGGTTTTTATGTGTCACAGAAATGTACGACCAGTACACACAAGTGTTTTGATGAATTACAATATTGCTTTTGCAACCAATTCCTCAATTGAAAGTAATTAAATTTTGATTCTGTCTTAATTTGTTTATTTTCTTAACTAGTTAAAGGTACAACACATTGCCTCTATGCAGCATACATTTTCCTGAAGTGAACCAGTTGACATTCCAATCACCAATATCATGTATTAATGCACGTTGTGCGGTTCCATATAGGAAAGCAAAATATTGCTTTATTTAACTTATTATTATAATTTTTAGAACTTGGGTAATAAATAGGATAGAAAACTCATCCCCCTTTCATATCAAGTTTATGTCCTGAGTGAAATAATTTTGCTTTGTCACGAGCATGAGCAGAAACATTTATATATTGCATCCCCTGGGACGTACAATTATATTTGCTGTTCAAAAGATTTGCGACTAAAAACATAAAGTTTATGGAATTAAAGTAATCATTACGTGGTGGCACGTGGTCCTGTGCATAGCGCTCAGGTCACAAATCAGTTGAACTTAAGCAACCTTGGGTTCGGACAGCCCTTGGATGGGTGACCGTGTTGGCAGCTTAACTCCTGAGAGTTTCTAGGACTTCAGTCCTGCCCCACAACGAAGCACATGTGATACATGTCGTCTCACCTTAGGCAAGTGAGTTTGTTCACAATTGCCTCTGTTCACCCAGCAGGAAATTGGTACCCGGTGAAATAAGTCGTGAGACTGTTAACCTTCTAGCACCTAACAGGCAGCTTGGGTTATCCGGGGTAATAATGATCAGATTGTGCGCTTTGAGTAGGATATCTAGCCTGGAAAAGGCGCGTTATAAATATTCTCATTATTATTATTATTATTATTAAACCTTACAGTACAGCTTACTACATCAAGTTAGGTTAGAGGACCCTCATATTTCATGTAAGGATCCTTGAAATTAGGAAGTGGCGGTCTTGTAGACCCCTAATTTTATTGGTCAAGGTAAAACCCTGAAAATAGCTTCAATTTTTGCATAGGTTGTATTATCAAATATTATAATAGCAATGCAGCACAACTGCACCTCATCTTAATAACAATAGACTGTTACATTCTGCTGTATTAAAGGACACATCATTACAACGTTTATGCAACATTAACTCCAAACACTCACGTCACTCTTAAAACATATACTAAGACTCTCAAGATAGAGAAGAGTGACTTCATCCACAAAAGCATGGAAAGGCACCAGTTGATAAAATGGGCTTTTCACAATAGGATGTTATCCTATCTACAAACTACAGCTCTACCACTGCCAGTTGGGTAATCTGACAATGTATAGCAGATAAGAGATGCCTCACATCATTCCCTGACATCCCAATGTATATTTCAGTTGTGGGTTGTAAAATAACAATCAAAATAAACAGGTTTGGCCATTTTGACTTGCTCCCCATGTATATACCACTTCTATTTATCAAACAGCAATTAATATGGAGTTTTGAAGAAAATAATACCCTCCAAGCGAATAGAGAACTTGAACTGGTTATTAACTTTTGTTTCTCAAACTCCGAACGTATGACTGCTGCTTTGACATGCTTGTAACATTTCATAGTAAGATTATTTTCAGAGTATATTTGAACCAGCCACATAGTATTTTACATTTAATCATCATAAGCAGAGCTGTTAATAAACATGTTACAAAAATAATTATAAACATAGTAACTGTCACCGTATTATAATTCTTTGTCATTATGATATTTTTCGGTTTTGAGAAAGAATTGTTTTCATGTATGATTGATGAGGTGGATGTGTTATCATCATAGAGTTATGGTTGCTATTGTATGTTGCACAGGTTTTGAATTGTGTGGTGTGATCGTTGTGACAGACAAGGTGGCTGGACCAGCCAACACAAGAGCTGCTGTACAGGCACACATCTCCAACAAGCTGCTGGTAATGGTGACATAAATACATATGTTATTCTCTTTGAACATAATGCCAATGTTGTGGTTCACTCTCTGTACATGATGTTCATCTTGACTGAACAAGAGAAAGAAGCCATTTATACAAATACCCAGTGAAGTAGTCCAATGCCCAAGCCCATTCTTACACTAGTTTAAAGTCAGTGCTACACTGTCAGTCTGTCAGATCTACAAAGAACAAGCAATTTGTCATTGTTATTTTAGTGTTGATAAAACTTGAGGTGATATGCATAAGGCATGCAGTTTCCTACCCAGTTGTATACTAAACAAATTCTTCTCACTGTTTCGGCTTATTATATTTTTTCATTAGGCACAAGGTCTTATCGGGAGAAGAAGGCAAGAAATTGACAAGATAATGTTACCCTCTCATTGGCAGCAAGGTGCTCATGAAACAAGAACAGATATGCTCAGATATGATAAGAGCAGTTGCCTGTCTTCCCATTTCTTATATAGTGTTTCTATGTTATTGCAGAAATGTAGTTAACAACCAGGCGAGCTATTCTCGAAACATTCGTAGCCCTACGAACTTCTTAAGCCCATTCTTAACACATTGGCTACGATCAAAGTTAAGAATTCTTAGGGCTACGAACGTTTCGAGAGTAAGGGTCCAGGTGATTATTATTTTGAAATTAGGATGTTGAAGGTGTTAATTCTTGCAGGAGTCTCTTGGAGAAGGGCCTTTGATTGTGTGTCATGTCCAGTTGGGATCTGGTCAGCTTGGCACCAACAACTTCCTCCTTCTAGATGCTGACCAGGAGGTGTCAGAGTGCCAGGTCAGCCTGACCCAGGACGATGTACTGTCCAACAGCGTGGTGTTCCGACTGCAAGCACATGTCCCCATCACTATCTCTATAGATTCTAGCTCAAGTAAGTATCCAGTCTACTTTTGGATTGGTTACCGAGGTTACCAGTGTGAGACTATCATAAAATGAAACTTATCATTCTGACACTCTCTTTTTGAAATCTGGTGTACGAGTATTTGTATGTTTTGCTAATCAGGGATATGACTTGGTTAAACTGGGATATCAGGCTTTCAAAAAGTATAGAAACCATTTATTGTTTCCTTCAAGTTTCAGATTTAAGGGAAAGGGAAGTAACTCTTCCATACTTATCGATTGAGTTACCCGAATTACAATGTAGGTGATGAAATGTGCATTGAGAAAATGTTTTGTGTTGATACTTTAAGAGTAGTGTAATATAGTTTTGCCATGAACAGTTTTAGATAAAATGTGAGGATATCTGATTTTAATGTGCTAGGGAGGTTGTCATCATCTTGCTGTATTTCGGGGAATATTATTTAATTATTCTACTATGTTGAAGAAACTATTTCACCAGTTGATTATTGATTATGTGATAGTAGTGAAAGAACAGTGTTTCCATGGGTGATGTTGGAGGAATTGACTTGATGTTAACCCATTATGACTTACTCAAACAGTGAAAAATATAGTAACAATCTATAGTAACAAAATATAGCGACATCTTGGAAATGTCTGTACGTTGAGTGAAATACAGTATGTGTGTTCGCCAGAAGACTGGCAGCAAGCCATCAACTGTGAGATCAGTCGAGTATGTCGCAGTCTCCAGTCTCCTGCCTGCGTGTACTCTGTGACAAACACACGCATCCTGCTGACGTCCTCCGAGGTGAAGGGTGTGTCAGGTGACCAGTCATGTGATGTCCTGTACCAGCACATCGAGTCAGACGATGATGTACCAGTGTTTCGCAGTAAGAAGAAAGGAGTAAAGGACCAGGTACGTTCACCAGAAGTGTAGATGTCAAGCCTTTCTAACCAGATCATTTACTACGATACAATAATTCTAGATCACTGTAGAGAGGAGTCATTTATTTCAGGTGGGGTTGGGCTCAGTATTTACTGATGAACTAACATACTGTGTCTGTCCTCAATGCTTGTTACATTTTTGGATGACCTTCAACCCCCCCAACGCATGTCATTGCACATTTTATAATGATATCCATCCCCCAACCCATGTCCCTTTGTTTTTTATTTGACCTCCATCCCAATATCCCATGTCCTTGCACATTTCTGGATGCCCTCCATCCTGCCAACCCATGCCCTTGTACATTTCTGGATGACCTCTGTCCCCAATACATGCCCTTGCACATTTTTGTATGACCTCTGTCCCCCAACCCATGCCCTTGCACATTTCTGGATGACCTCCATCCTGCCAACCCATGCCCTTGCACATTTCTGGATGACCTCTGTCCCCCCATGCCATGTCCTTGCACATTTCTGGATGACCTTCATTCGCCCAAGCCATGCCCTGTTCCCCAACCCATGTCCTTGCACATTTTTGGATGACCTCGATTCGCCCAACCCATGTCCTTGCACATTTTTGGATGATCTCAATCCCCCAACACACGGCCTAACATATTTTTGGATGACCTTGATCCTCCAACCCATGGCCTTGCACATTTCTGGATGACCTCTGTCCCCCAACCCATGTCCTTGCACATTTCTGGATGACCTCCATCCTGCCAACCCATGCCCTTGCACATTTTTGTATGACCTCCATTCGCCCAACCCATGTCCTTGCACATTTTTGGATGACCTCAATCCTCCAACCCATGCCCTTGCACTTTTCTGGATGACCTCGATCCCCCAACGTATGGCATTGCACATTTTGGGATGATCTCCATTCGCCCAACCCATGGCCGCACACATTTCAGGATGACCTTGATCCCCCAACCCATGTCCTTGCACATTTTTGGATGACCTCGATCCCCCAACCCATGTCCTTGCACATTTTTGGATGACCTCCATCTCCCCAACCAATGTCCTTGCACATTTTGGGATAACCTCCATCCCTCCAACACATGCCCTTGCACATGTGTAAAGGTGTCCAGCTTCTAGTGATGTTGTATGCAGTTGAACCCTATCTCGTGTAACTGCTGCTACTGTTTCAGGGACCTATAGGTGTCCAGCTGCTGCTGTTGGTGAGTGAGGAGGCTGCTAGTGATGTGCCGTGTTGTGCTCCAGTTGTTCATCATAGTATAGGTGAGTTTAGCTGACAGCCGATCAGAAAAATGACAAGCAAACTTAAGTGTTCTGATCTTTACAAAGTATCATACCTCAAACTGGTGTATACCCATGGGATTGCTGTTCATCATAGTATAGGTGAGTTTAGCTGACAGCCGATCAGAAAAATAACAAGCAAACTTAAGTGTTCTGATCTTTACAAAGTATCATACCTCAAACTGGTGTATACCCATGGGATTGCTGTTCATCATAGTATAGGTGAGTTTAGCTGACAGCTGATCAGAAAAATCAGAAAACTTAAGTAACAAAAGTATCAAACTTAAGTGTTCTCATAGTATAGGTGAGTTTAGCTGACAGCCGATCTTTACAAAAAGTATCATTCCTCAAACTGGTGTATACCCATGGGATTGCTGTTCATCATAGTATAGGTGAGTTTAGCTGACAGCCGATCAGAAAAATAACAAGCAAACTTAAGTGTTCTGATCTTTACAAAGTATCATTCCTCAAACTGGTGTATACCCATGGGATTGCTGTTCATCATAGTATAGGTGAGTTTAGCTGACAGCCGATCAGAAAAATAACAAGCAAACTTAAGTGTTCTGATCTTTACAAAGTATCATTCCTCAAACTGGTGTATACCCATGGGATTGCTGTTCATCATAGTATAGGTGAGTTTAGCTGACAGCTGATCAGAAAAATAACAAGCAAACTTAAGTGTTCTGATCTTTACAAAGTATCATTCCTCAAACTGGTGTATACCCATGGGATTGCTGTTCATCATAGTATAGGTGAGTTTAGCTGACAGCCCGATCAGAAAAATAACAAGCAAACTTAAGTGTTCTGATCTTTACAAAGTATCATTCCTCAAACTGGTGTATACCCATGGGATTGCTGTTCATCATAGTATAGGTGAGTTTAGCTGACAGCCCGATCAGAAAAATAACAAGCAAACTTAAGTGTTCTGATCTTTACAAAGTATCATACCTCAAACTGGTGTATACCCATGGGATTGCTGTTCATCATAGTATAGGTGAGTTTAGCTGACAGCCGATCAGAAAAATAACAAGCAAACTTAAGTGTTCTGATCTTTACAAAGTATCATTCCTCAAACTGGTGTATACCCATGGGATTGCTGTTCATCATAGTATAGGTGAGTTTAGCTGACAGCCGATCAGAAAAATAACAAGCAAACTTAAGTGTTCTGATCTTTACAAAGTATCATACCTCATTGCTGTTCCTCAAACTGGTGTATACCCATGGGATTGCTGTTCATCATAGTATAGGTGAGTTTAGCTGACAGCCGATCAGAAAAATAACAAGCAAACTTAAGTGTTCTGATCTTTACAAAGTATCATACCTCAAACTGGTGTATACCCATGGGATTGCTCATTAGAAATGTACCTCAGGAGTCTAAGGTGGTCATAGAGAAAACCAAGCATATTGGGTGTACAGTGGTGGTCACTTGAGTGTGAGTATAATTGTACCCCTCACACTGAAAAACTGTTTTCAATTATTTGCGCTGAATGTATCTTGATACAATACTTATTGCGGTACGGTTACAACAGTAGAGTCATGGGAATATTGCTACTGGTAATAATTGTCTAAAAAGTGTGTCTCAGTGAAAATGTACCGTACATGTTGATAATATCAATTAAATTTTTACCTTACCATAGGTCTATTGCATATTACCTGAAGCTTCGCTTTGAAAGAGATCAGACAGTCGTTGATTCGCCATTCCTCTAGAATGGCTGCCTCGTGTATCGACGGGTGTACAGGAGCGGAAGTGACGTGATCTCCCCTCACGCGCATGCGCGGGCTACCCAAAAATCACTTTTACTGAAAGCGTGCTACGAGTTAGACGTTGTTGTTTTGGCTGCTACTTTCTTTATTAAAGTTATAAAATACGTTTTTTGTTTGGTATGTATGCTTTGTATGTCTTATCTTCTTCTATGTGTGGATGAAAAAAAAAAAAAAAAAAGTTTTCACCTACCTTGCTGCCTCGTGTTTTTTGCACTTCAGTGTGGGTGTTGTCCCACGTCGCTAGTTTCACTTTCACTTTCATATTATTCATGTCTTGTATGCTTGTATGGTGCTACTTTTACACCATAATATCCATGCTTGTTTATGTTGTAAATGTGCTGGTAGTCCTTATTTATTACTTTTTTTCACGCTTTTCACAGGATTGTGGGTCAGCCATTTTGGTTGTTTACACTCTGCTGTCTCACCACCTTGGGCGAGCCCATTTTACTGCAGGGGTGTTTTCCACTTTTCTCAACTCCCGGACGTCACTCCCACGGACGCCCGGCGGACAGAACGAGCTCCAACCGGGAAACATACACCTGTGCCTCGGGCGCGGATGCTGGAAGCCCAGCGCCCGACTGACAACTTTGTTGACCTCTCCCAACCGGATGCTTTGTCTCACCCGGAGGTTCAGAGAATCCTAAGACCGCTTCTTCTACCTCACGTCAAAGCAAGCGCCAACACCGAAGCCAGCACTATTCCAGCGCTGACGCCCTCGATGTCCAGCGAGAAGCACCAGCCAGCGCCACTTCCGACGCCGACACCTCTACAGGATTACCACATCCCAAGACAGTAACTTCGTCTACGGCATCGAGAGAGCAAGACCTGCAGCGTCAACTGATTGAGGAACGTTCCTGACGCCTGGAAGTCAAGCGCTCCCGTCGCTACAGACGCTCTCGTTCCCGGTCTCCTAGACATCGTCACCGCTCTAGGAGTCCTCGTCGCAGCTCCGATGCCCACTGTCGCTGCCGTCGGTCCAGCTCCAGATCCCGTTCACCCAGGCGGTCGGACGACAGGGAGAGGTGCTCCAGATCACCCACTTGGGCTTCAGGGAGACGCCACCAACGATCGCGTTCAAGGTCGCCACTGCTACGCGCCGATCGCCGCTGACACCCACGGCTCTCTCCTCCGAAGCGTCTTTCAACGCTGGACCACAGCCAACGTCTTTTCCCTAGCGCCTGACGCCTTCCACTTCCGGTCTCCATTATTGCGTCTGCTGTGACATGGGAGGAGGCAGAGGAGCTTTACTTCTCACCTGACTATGATGAGGAGGTCATGGAAGACGAGGACGATGGGGGTAGTTACCTTCCTCCCTCCACGGTTTTTACATGGATTGCGGACAGGCTTCCCGTCTGCCCTTCGCCTTCTACTGGCGAGGATGACCCGAGGGCCATCTGTTTCTCTCTGGAACTCCTTCTTCCGCCGCACCCGATGGCTTCCCTAGACGCAGATTTCGCCAAGCTGTCGCTCAACACTACCATTAAAGCCCGAAGTCTCGTAAAGGCGGACTACAAGATTCACAGCCCAGATTTCGCTGATGGTGGTCCTGCCCAAGATGAGTCTCTCAAGAGCCTTTCAGATTCTCCTCAGTCCTACAGGGTTCAGGAATCGAGAATGCAAGCCATTGACACGAACTCAAGCGCATGCTGAAGCCTGTCTCAGCTTTGGCCTCAGCCACATCAGCAGCGGCATTGGACCTCACCGAGGATACCACCTCTAGGACGGAGCACCTCACAACCTTGTTCCAGTGGCAGGGCAAGGTGCTGCATGATCTGCTGGCTCAGCCATGACCACGGTTGTTTGAAGGACCGGGTTCCTGGGATCTTGCACTTGGCAAGAGGAGTTTAAGAGGAAGCTACTGAGGGCCCCTTTCGCTTCACGTTTACTGTTTGACGACAGGATCCCAGATGTTTACAAGGAACACGCCGAATTCACCAACATAGATGTGTCTCTTTCCATGTTTGGAGTCTTTCCGACTCTAACTCTCAGCGCCGCCCGCAGGATCATCCTGGGGGCCCCCTTCGACCCCTGCCAGGGGAAGGGGGAAGCGCCCCTACTCTGGACGTTGAAGTTTTGGACCAACACGACTGGGACCTCCCGCCCCCCAGCCGTGCCGATCCGTCAGACCCCAGTAGGCAAGAGACTAGGGATCTTTTGGCCCAACTGGACAATCCTAGAGGATCCCTTCGTTACCAACATCCTCAAGAGCGGCTACAAGCTGCCAATCGCTGCGTCACCGCCTCTGACCACGATGCCCCGGACACGCGAGTATTCCCGAGATCAGCATTTTTGCTAGCAGACAACATCCAGACGCTACTGGACAAGCAAGCAATAGAGACAGTGCTAGACCCCCAACAGCCCCTGGGTTTCTATTCACCCATCTACCTGGTCCCTAAGAAGGACTCCGACAAGATGCTCATGATACACAACATTGTGGCATTCAACACTCTCCAAATCTCGGAGCCGCCCACTTCCAGATGGCGTCCCTGGAGCAGCTGCGTTCCAAGCTGGCGCCCCTGGTCTGGTTGGTCAGCCTCGACCTTCAGGGCGCTACAAACACCCATCTACAAACACCACAGGAAGTACCTGAGGTTCGTCTTCGATGGAACCCACTGCCAGTGGAAGGTGCTTCTGTTTGGCATTTCCACGGCCCCGTGGCTTTTTACTCGGATCACCTCACCAATCACCCGATTCCTGCACCTCAGGGGCATTGATTTCGACCCGTACATAGACGACTGCCTCATGAACCACAACCACCCTCAGTTGCTACGCAGACAGACGAACATGGCCATTCGCCTCCTACAGCAACTGGGCTGGATCGTCAACAGCGACAAGTCCCACCTGGAGCCTTCTCAGGAACTGACCTTCATAGGAGGCCTGTTTTTGACTCACAGCGACCTTGTCAGGGTTCCCCAGGATCGTTGGACAAAATTCTCAGCCAGCCACTCACTCTCAGAGGTCTCCTCACCTCAGCTCAGGAGTTGACACTCAGAGGACACCTGATGCTCCGGCCACAACAGCGTTTCCTTCAGCCATACATCCAGGCGGACGACCTACAGTCGAGGTTCACCCAATCTCTTCATCTTCACTCTTACCTCCGCCGGTGGACTGTACAGTCGAACGTCTGCGTAGGAGTATCCTTGACAGAGTTTGTACACGACCAGGAGTTCTTCGTAGATACGTCCCTTCAGGGTTGGGGAGCACACCTCAATGACCTAGAACTCACAAGCGGTCATTTTAGTGGTCCAACACTGGGTACCTCTTCTGAGGAACACCAATCTCCTGATTGCATCGGACAGCTCCACAGTAGTTTGGCTGATCCGCAACCAGGGAACGACCAGGCCAAGCAACTGCTGGAGCAGACCTTCCTGTTGGCCAGTATTTTGGACGACAACAGCATCAGAGCCAGAGCCCGGCACATCCCAGGGTGCAAGAACATCCTGGCAGATGCTCTGTCAAGGCCAGGCAAGCCGTCACCGACAGAATGGATGCTGCATCCAGAAGCGTTCAATCTTATATGTCACAGTCACGGCATGGGCAGTCGACGCCATGTCCTTGTCGTGGGAGAGTCTGGACGCATACGCTTTTCCACCACCAGTTCTGTTACCAGCGGTAGTAGCAAAGATCAAGCAGACGAAGAAGATACATCTGCTTTTGGTCGCGCCTTGGTGGCCAACCAGAACCTGGTTTCCAGACCTGCTCCACCTCGCCGAAGAAGCCTCACCTCACTCAGACATCTGCACAGCCTGACAGTTGCACCCCAACCCGAAATGGGTTTCATCTGTGCGCCTGGAACATTTGCAGAAGGCACTGAAGGCCAATGGGTTCTCCACAGGCGTCGCCAAGGTCATTGCTCGCGCCCATCGAGTTTCCACGAGATCACTATATGATGACAAGTGGTCTTCGTTTGAGAAGTTTTGCTCCCAGAAGTCCAAGGACCCTTTGAAAGCTTCACCTCAGTTTGTGGCGGAGCTCCTCCTTTTCCTCAGGAAATCCAGGCATCTGAAGGGCAGCACAATCAGAACCCACTTATCAGCCCTCAACTCCGTGTTGGCTGTCAAGATAATCTGTCAGGAAGATCTCCAAGGTGCCAGAGCTCATCGCCATGCTCAAAGCTTTCAAGCTTGAGGATCAGAAGGCCAAGTTTCGCCCTCCTGCTTGGGACTTAAACATCGTCCTACGTCATCTGAGAGGTCCCCCTACGAGTCCTTGGACTCTGCCTCGTTTGAGAACCTCTCCAGGAAGACAGTTTTCATTCTGGCCCTGGCCACTGCGGCTAGGGTTAGTGAGTTACACGCCTTGGACGTCACCAGAGTTTGCTTCGAGCAGTCTCGCAACGGACCTGTTCATTTAGGACTACTCTAGGACTTTGTGGCCAAGAACCAGCTCCCTGGACAACCAGATAGGATGTTCACCATTCCACTGTTATCATCCATCTTGGGGCCCCATGATGCTGAGGAACAGCTGCTGCGTCCAGTGAGAGCACTGAAGGCGTACATCTCCAAGTCATCGTCCAGGAGACAGTCTTGCAAGAAGCTGTTCATCCCATTCTCCTCTGCAGCCAAGGGTGAGGTCAACAGGAACACCATTGCTCTCTGGCTGCGCATGACCATCCTGGCTGCTTACGATGCAGAAGACCTCCCTCACCCTACAGCCAACAACCCGCATGAGATCAGGGCCCTGGCTTCAACCATGGCACTCCATAGAAATTGGACTGTTCCGGCCATCATGGAGGGTTGTTTCTGGAAGTCATCCTCTGTCTTCGCCAGCCACTACCTGCGAGACTTGGCTGTCGAGGATGTGCAGGGTTTCCAATCCTTTGGTCCACTGGGAGTTGCCCAGCAACTCACCCGACCTACCGCTCACTAGGTATCTACAACTCCTTACCTATTGGTCTTAAGGTTAACTTACGCATAGCGTGTACATGTTTTCCTTTGGGTTTCTCTGGGTTACTATCTGTCTTCCTCGCTTCCAGACGCTGCCTGCCCGACGACCGACTCAGATAGTTTCCCAGGATTCCCTCGGCTCGGTTTTCTTCATGGGATGGTTTTCTTCATGGAGCAACGCCGTCCTACTGTTGAGTTATTGCAAAGACCTAAATATTTTAGATATTTCTAAATATTTTACTTACCTTACCTTACCATAGGATGGTAACTCCAACGCTGGATGCTCCTCCCCTCTCTGGGATCTTCAGACCTGGTCAGTAAAAGTGATTCTTGGGTAGCCTGCGCATGCTCGTGAGGGGAGATCACGTCACTTCCGCTCCTGTACACCCGTCGATACACGAGGCAGCCATTCTAGAGGAATGGCGAATCAATCTGATCTCTTTCAAGAGAAGCTTCAGGTAATATGCAATAGACTTATGGTAAAGTAAGTATTTAAATATCTAAAATATTTAGATTTTAATAATTTAAAAAAATTTCCAGGTGATTTCAGAGCCGTTAAGATGCGGCTGCCTTTAGATGTTTTGTCAGTCATCAAGTCAGATGAGAGTATAGAAAATTTAAACGCCGCCTTCACTACAGCTGTCAAGAGCCAACTAGAATCAATGAAAGATTGTCTGTGTCAGTACAAACAGGTAAACATTTCAAACATTTTGTCATTGTAAACACAGGAAAGTCTAATAAAATATATTCCTCAGGAACATTTAACCGTTTTTCAGTTGACATGTTTTAAACCCGAATGTATGGACTGGCAATGAGATATTTCGGGGAAAATAGGTGATCATAAGAAGTAAATGTTATTATACTGTCTGTGTCTTCATAACAAAGGAACCCGTGAAGGTCTGGGTTAGAGTATTGATCTTCAGTAACCCATGCTTGTCGTAAGAGGCGACTAACGGGATTGGGTAGTCAGGCTCACTGACTTGGTTTGACACATGTCATCGGTTCCCAACTGCGCAGATTGATGCTCATGTTGTTGATCACTGGACTGTCTGGTCCAGACTTGCTTATTTACAGACCGCCACCATATAGCTGGAATATTGCCGAGTGCAGCGTAAAACTAAACTCACTCACTCATAACAAAGGATAACTATTATGATTAATGAAGCAATATTCTGGACTGTGGCATAAAACGGCACTCATTATGTCAAAGCATTTATTATGCAGACAGTGATTGTTGACCTATATGTAGTATACATTGTGGTGATCACTGGTCGTTACTGCTGTAGGGAGAGAGCTTCCACATCCCTGAAGCCTTCCACTTCCGGCCTGGTGGGGGACCAAGCTTCATCACTCATGTGTATCCCCGGGCAATACCAGATGAAGATATGGGTGAGACTATCCTTCCTGTATTACAGTTGTGACACAATAAGGCAGTGTTTTTACTCCAGACAATTCAGGAGGCCCGGTTTGCCAATGGATCTCATTTCATTGTGGAGCTGCTTCCTTTCGTAGTGCAAGAATCCAGAATCTACATGAGAATGTCTTGAGGAGAAATACATGATTTCCATGAAGAGTTTTACAACAAGAAAACCTTCTGATGTGTTTTGTAGATATTGGTGATCAGATGTGTGGCAGTGATTTTGAAGGATACATTGAACAATCCTGTTGCTACTATATAAGGAAATAAAACAAGCATGATGAGGTGGCTTGGTTCAACTGGCTGCTTTGGAAAATGAAGTCCAAATTTTGTTATTGCTGTCAAATTTTTGGCTTCAAACAAACCACTAATTCAAATTTCAATTATCTGTTAGAAAACCAGCGTCGGGATCTTCACCACTTACTGATGTTGCCTGCAGACAGACCATTGTTCCGACGTGCCAACCAATACATGTTTCCTGGACAACCAACAACAGACGGCTATTTGCTGAACCCACACACAGGCTCTCTCTCCAGGAGGTAGGGTCAGGGTTTATCATGATGATTGGGTAGATAGTGTAGACCCACAACAGACGGCTATTTGCTGAACCCACACACAGGCCTCTCTCCAGGAGGTAGGGTCAGGGTTTATCATGATGATTGGGTAGATAAGTGTAGACGCACAGAAGACGGCTAGTTTGGTGCACCCACACACAGGCCTCTCTCCAGGAGGTAGGGTCAGGGTTTATCATAATGATTGGGTAGATAAGTGTAGACGCACAGAAGACGGCTAGTTTGCTGAACCCACACACAGGCCTCTCTCCAGGATGTAGGGTCAGGATTTATCATGATGATTGGGTAGATAGTGTAGACCCACAACAGACGGCTATTTGCTGAACCCACACACAGGCCTCTCTCCAGGAGGTAGGGTCAGGGTTTATCATGATGATTGGGTAGATAGTGTAGACCCACAACAGATTGCTATTTGCTGAACCCACACACAGGCCTCTCTCAGGAGGTAGGGTCAGAGTTTATCATGATGATTGGGTAGATAGTGTAGACCCACAACAGACGGCTATTTTGCTGAACCCACACACAGGGCTCTCTCCAGGAGGTAGGGTCAGGGTTTATCATGATGATTGGGTAGATAGTGTAGACCCACAGCAGATGGCTATTTGCTGAACCCACACACAGGCCTCTCTCCAGGAGGTAGGGTCAGGGTTTATCATGATGATTGGGTAGATAGTGTGGACCCACAGCAGACGGCTATTTTGCTGAACCCACACACAGGCCTCTCTCCAGGAGGTAGGGTCAGGGTTTATCATGATGATTGGGTAGATAGTGTAGACCCACAACAGACGGCTATTTTGGTGAACCCACACACAGGCCTCTCTCCAGGAGGTAGGGTCAGGGTTTATCATTATGATTGGGTAGATAGTGTAGACCCACAACAGACGGCTATTTGCTGAACCCACACACAGGCCTCTCTCCAGGAGGTAGGGTCAGGGTTTATCATAATGATTGGGTAGATAGTGTAGACCCACAACTGACGGCTATTTGCTGAACCCACACACAGGCCTCTCTCCAGGAGGTAGGGTCAGGGTTTATCATGATGGATGGGTAGATAGTGTAGACCCACAACAGATGGCTATTTGCTGAACCCACACACAGGCCTCTCTCCAGGAGGTAGGGTCAGGGTTTATCATGATGGATGGTTAGATAGTGTAGACCCACAGCAGACGGCTATTTGCTGAACCCACACACAGGCCTCTCCAGGAGGTAGGGTCAGGGTTTATCATGATGGATGGTTAGATAGTGTAGACCCACAACAGACGGCTATTTGCTGAACCCACACACAGGCCTCTCTCCAGGAGGTAGGGTCAGGGTTTATCATGATGGAGTGGGTAGATAGTGTAGACCCACAACAGACGGCTATTTGCTGAACCCACACACAGGCCTCTCTCCAGGAGGTAGGGTCAGGGTTTATCATGATGATTGGGTAGATAGTGTAGACCCACAACAGACGGCTATTTTGGTGAACCCACACACAGGCCTCTCTCCAGGAGGTAGGGTCAGGGTTTATCATGATGGATGGGTAGATAGTGTTGACCCACAACAGACGGCTATTTGCTGAACCCACACACAGAGGAGGTAGGGTCAGGATTTATCATGATGGACGGTAGATAGTGTAGACCCACAGCAGACGGCTATTTGCTGAACCCACACACAGGCCTCTCTCCAGGAGGTAGGGTCAGGGTTTATCATCATGATTGGGTAGATAGTGTAGACCCACAACAGATGGCTATTTTAGTGAACCCACACACAGCCCTCTTTCCAGGAGGTAGGGTCAGGGTTTATCGTGATGAGTGGGTAGATAGTGTAGACCCACAACAGACGGCTATTTTGGTGAACCCACACACAGGCTTCTCTCCAGGAGGTAGGGTCAGGGTTTATCATGATGAGTGGGTAGATAGTGTAGACCCACAACAGACGGCTATTTTGGTGAACCCACACACAGGCCTCTCTCCAGGAGGTAGGGTCAGGGTTAATCGTGATGAGTGGGTAGATAGTGTAGACCCACAACAGACGGCTATTTTGGTGAACCCACACACAGGCCTCTCTCCAGGAGGTAGGGTCAGGGTTTATCATGATGGATGGGTAGATAGTGTAGACCCACAACAGACGGCTATTTGCTGAACCCACACACAGGCCTCTCTCCAGGAGGTAGGGTCAGGGTTTATCATGATGGATGGGTAGATAGTGTAGACCCACAACAGATGGCTATTTGCTGAACCCACACACAGGCCTCTCTCCAGGAGATAGGGTCAGGGTTTATCATGATGGATGGGTAGATAGTGTAGACCCACAGCAGATGGCTATTTGCTGAACCCACACACAGGCCTCTCTCCAGGAGGTAGGGTCAGGGTTTATCATGATGATTGGGTAGATAGTGTAGACCTACAACAGACGGCTATTTTGGTGAACCCACACACAGGGCTCTCTCCAAAAGTTCCAAAAGTTGTCAAGGGTGTTAGATTATGTTAGATTATGTAGAGGTGGGGAAGATGTATCTTTTGATAATTATTTTGCCTGCACTGATTTTGACTCCAGAATGAATATGCTTCCATGTCATGAGAATTATATAATCTAACAGATGTTATATTTAGGATTACACTTTCTTAGTAAAGTACAGATTCTAGTACTTTTGTTGGGTTGAGTCCCATCCGGGATTTGAACCCACACCCTCAGAGTCAGGCACCTAATCGCCACACACAAAGTCAGCAGCTGCTGACTCTGAGGGTGTGGGTTCAAGAGGTGAAATTGGGTTTAACGCCCAAGAATATTTTGCTCATGTGACATTTGTACCACTTTCTAAATGGCATCCCAAATATAACATATGTTACATTATATAATCCTTTCTAAATGTCATTATATTCGTAATAATCCTTGTTTAAAGTTTGTGACTGTTTCAGGAGTTGGCACCAAGTACTTGGTGACAGGGACTTACAGCTACCACCACTACATGCAGGACCGCTTCAACGACAACCAATGGGGATGTGCGTACCGCTCCCTCCAGACACTGGTGTCCTGGTTCCGGTTCCAAGGCTACACAGACAAACCTATCCCAACTCACAAAGAAATACAACAGGTAGGATACACTATAATCAAGATGGGTCTGTTAGATGGGGCATAGGTGGTCAGATGTTAAAGTTGAATAAACAAAATATTAGACAATAAAGGCATCTAAGTTTTGAGCCAATATGCAAATTAAGGGTCACACTTAACTGCCTACTAAACTATAACAAGGTAGTCTGATGTAGATGTGTTTCATGTGTGATATATTTGTATAATATCCTCATGTTATGCTGAGCATGTATAAGTGTTCTTTGTAAACTACAAATATTGACGTAGTGAAATATGTTGTTATTGATTGAAAACGTGTTTGCATTATGTTAAGATATATTCTTCTGTGCTTGACACTGTCATATAGCATTTCAGAATGTTGTTTTACATTTGTACTTTATGCCCTATAGCTCCAGCTATTAAATACTGTCTGTTCTGGTCAGGCAGTGTGGTATATAGCTATATATCTAATACACCTTCATGCTATTTCCAGGCTCTGGTTGACATTGGAGATAAGGAAAAGTCATTTGTAGGGAGTCGGAAGTGGATTGGCTCCCTTGAAGTTGGGTACTGTCTGGATCAGTTGATCGGGGTAGGCACAGCTGACTTTAATTAGAGATGTCATTGTATCCCAGTTGCGTAGATCGATGCTCATGTTGTTGATCACTGGATCATCTGGTCCAGACTTGATAATTACTGACTGCCACCATATAGCTGGAATATTACTGAGTGCTGTGTTAAAAAAAATAAATCAATCAACTTTAGAGCAGACACTTGTCATATAGTAGTATAATTTACCATTACTGCGATACTACTGAATATTTACTTGTTACATGTATCTTTGAGAATGGTTTCAAAGGCTGTCTTTGATACAAATGTCAGCAGCTGAGGAATGCAAATTATCACCGAAAATACTAGTCTTCTGTAGATCTTCGTATTTTCTTTATGTTAAGGATAACTTTGGCTATACTTACCATGACTAACTAACACTTACACTTATCTTGCCTCACACATAAATGTCGTTTTCTGATTGGCTGAGTGCTCTTCTATTATTTTCAATGTAGCCCCCTTACAAGCGAGTAACATGTTCTATGTACCCCACTGGGAATGCCGAACTCATTTGTTACTTCGTAGTTGTCATTCTTTATCTCGAATAACATTGAATCATGCATCATGTACGGAAATTAATGAAAGGGAAATTACTCTAAATTTGTTTTTCTTGTCATGTCATCTGGTACTCCATACTATGATCCGATACCCATGCTTCAAACAGTTCAAAATTACCATTGAGGTGTTCGGTAAGATCAATACGTTGTTCACTGGTCCCTTGGGGCCCATGGGTTGATGTACCCTCGATGTATCTTTATAAACAAACATCGAGGGTACATCAGCCCATGTCCCGCTTCGAGACCAGTGAACAACTTATATTGTAGTCCCCAAGTACTGAGATTCATTCAATAATCTATTTATTCAAACATTTGCATCCCTAAAAGTAAACAGTGTTTTAGCTTTTTGGAAGTTGTCCTTATGTGTTGTTATTGTTCCATTTATTCAGGCAAGTTTATGTTTATTTAAATCCCTGACTATGATTGTATACAGGAATCAACCTTGCTTTACAAATACCAGATATCAGTATTTGTCCTGTCATTATCATGTAAGTTCCTCAATCTCCAGGACTCTTTAGAAGGAGGCTGTTGTCATATGATTGTTGGACTTCCAATAAGGTAGTCACGAGAATAATGATGTTGTCTGCCTATTTATTGCAGGTGACATGCAAGATCATGAACGTAAGCAGTGGTGCGGACTTGGCTGGTAAAGGGAGAGAACTGGCATCACATTTCACTCACCAGGGCACTCCAATCATGATAGGTAGGCCTCTCTCAGTAATGATGAGAAAATGTAGCTATCTGAGTCAAGCTTGTAAAAAAGCCATACATCACCTTGTATGATCAGAGCTTCACTTCAATTCAGTGATTTGTGGTGTAATTGTGTAACCTCCAGGGAGAAGCCCCAGCAAGTACTCAGACCAATGAGTGCTGTAGTAACAAATGGCAATATTTCTGGTTTGACATGTGCAGCCATGGCCTTTGCTGCTATCTGCATTGCCTCATTGTTGTGGTGTTATTGGCACAGTGATCATGCAAGGAAGAGCAACCTGCTAGAACAGCAGCTATATATGTTCAGGAGTGATGTAAGAACAGTGTATGCACCGCACAGTCTTACTGACAGACCTGTGAAGGTCCGGGTTAGAATGAACCTTTAGTAACCCATGCTTGTCGTAAGAGGCGACTAAGGGGATCGGGTGGTCAGGATCGCTGGCTTGATTGACACGTCATCGGTTCCCAATTGCGCAGATCGTTGCTCATGCTGTTGATCACTGGATTGTCTGGTCCAGACTTGCTTATTTACAGACCGCTGCCATATAGCTGGAATATGGCTGAGTGCGGCGTAAAACTAAACTCACTCACTCTTATTGACAGCGTTCAGCATTTCACGATTATGTGTACCTCTACAACTTCTTACTAGCTTATTAAACACAGTTCACCCTGCCATTATTGTGAAAATCATAACACACCAGCTCTGTTCTGTATTTCTCCCTTAACAGAATTATTATGTGGATATTCTCAGTAAACTTTACTGATTTTAACATATGCAGGGACTGGCACTTGCTGAAAAAAGCCCTTCTCCCTGATGATCTAAAATTCTGTGTGTACAGGTGGGGGTGTTTTGGCCCATACCATCCTTGGAGTGGATTTTGATGAAGTCACAGGGAACATTCGCTTCCTCATCCTTGACCCCCACTACACGGAGTCAGAAGACCTGAAGGTTATCTTGGACAAGGTAAGTATAGGTCATAAAGGGCCATCTTTTCACAAATACGGTTGTCTCAGTTCTGTAGTCTTTTAGAACTGAAAATGATAACAATAAGCAGGGCTCCAGATAAGGGTCGTATCGGCGTATGTACGGATAAAAAATATCCACGATACGGTAGGAAATAATTTAAAAAGCGTAGCAGATACGCACCACAGCAATGGTGTATGGTCTTAGAATCATTTACAGACGTATTTATCTGAAAAAAAGTATTGTTTTATTGTATCTTGACCTGTTTATACAAGAGTAGCAATGTTGTGGTGCATATATGAAACGAAACACAAGATTACTGATACTCCATTAAATTCCATTCAGTACTCTAAATGTACTCTTACTGTTTTCCAGTACTCCTATATTGAAAAAAATAAGGAGTGCGTACTCCTGATCATGAAATATTATCTGGAGCCCTGATTAAGTACCATACAAAGCTATGTTAGAGCTATTACAGTTACAAGTCAGCTATCAGTTGAGTTAACAGTTGAATTCCTTTATCAGTTACGCAGGCCTGGAAAACTGATTGTCATTGTACCAACGTGGAGGTTCAGTGTTATGACAATTATGTAAAGTGACCCTTTTCCCAAAGCTGTCTTTGACACCATGATTGTCCCAACTCCTATTCAGTGTCTGACTTTTAACTTTTGTAACTGGAGACATGAAGTGGGTGCATTATTTGTTTGGTACAACTGTTGTGTATACTTTTCTCTTCAAAATAACAGAAATGAATGTCGAAAGCAAAATCTTAGTCACCTGAATGTAACGGGTAACGTGACTGTTGTTAAACTCTGTGGTCATTAACATTCCTGCAGTGGCAGCTTACAATTGTTCAGTTCTGGGCCAGACAAACCAGTGCATGATATCACCTGTTGAGTGGGTGAATTAGTGAGTTTAGTTTTACACCGCTTTTACCAATATTCCAGCAATATCATGGCAGGGACACAAGAAATGGGTTTCACAAATTGTGCCCATGTGGGGAATCGAACCTAGGTTTTCGACGTGACAAGCAAACGCTTTAACCACTGGGCTAACCACTGTTGGAATACACTGATGCACAGACAGCCAAATGTGTCCACATGTTCCATTTTAATCATCTGATGACAACCAATGGTGTGCTGGTAACCATATTGCCCGTTCCTACCCAAAATATTACAAAGTTTTAATGGTCATTTTCAGGGATGGTGTGGCTGGAAGGGACCAGATTTCTGGGATGTCAATGCTCACTACAATCTGTGTATGCCTCAAAGACCACAGCTCATATAACGTGTGAAGTGCCATCTTTGTAAGATATCTGAATGTACATGTCTGTAAAATAAACTAATATATAAACAAAAACTAGTGACTTTTTGATGTCCTTTATGTGTCTGTGGCATTTTTGATGTCCAGACGGTGTGGTTTTTTTATTTATTCATGTTTACAATGTCAGAAAACTGGCTGTATTCCCACTTGCAGAAATACCTCCCCTTCAGTCAAAGTGGATTTATGGGATGTTTAAGATGAACTAAAAGCTTAAAAGATGACTATTCATCCTCATCTACTATCCACTGTATTAATGTTCATCTCCATTATGTTATGTCATAACAGTTTTCTCATCATGTGAGTGTTAATTCAGTTGGATGACAATTTGTAGTGTTGCATTATTCAAACTAGGTTCAAGTTCGGTTATAGATGGGTACAGGTTATTTTCACAACAGGATAGAGATACACATGGGGACAATCAGGATGATGGTTAACTTAGGGCTCCAACCACCATCTCCCCCATGTGGAAGCTTTATATAAGCTTTCTGTACATTCGACGGGTTCTACCATGAGGAGTCATCAAGGTCCGGTTCTTCTTCTTTTGCAAATGACAAAACAGAGCCCATACTGTATGTTTGATTTTGTCTTTATTACACTTTGTACAGCCTCTACATTACAAAGACTTACCGTCTTCATGAACACAAAAATTACACGTGCATTCAATAATAATTGTTACATTGTACAGAAGCAGCCATCTTTCTCAGCTCACGATAATTTAACAGTTAGCATGCCGTACTGGCAAACTGACCCAATCCCTTCCCATTATGTGTAAAAGCCTGACTAGCAATACCCGGTATGTTAACCTAGGTTGTCAATCAGGTCAAGTCTTCTGGTGCCGCTACATTTGGGAACATCACATGAGAGTTTAGATTAGTTGACTGAATAATAATTCTAAAAACGAGACAATGAAAAAAAACTTGGTCAAGCTGCAGAGTATTGCATTACAACAGTAACACTTGTGATTAGTTTGCATCCAGCAGGAGAACATGGACAAGTTCACGGGACACAATGGAGAAAATGCCTTGAGAAATTGGATTGTGGACAACATGCAATCAATATTACCATGTCAAAGATGCCACAAGCAACTCAAAAGTAGCAATCAAATATCCAGATCTCTATTTTCCCTTCCATTATTTAATAAAAACTATTAAGAAACAAAGATATATGACAAAAGAAAACAAAATCACCCTCCACTACTTCAAAGGAGCCACACAGGACATGATTCTCAAGCAATGAAAAATATTAATGAACTTTGTATTTATCTCCTGGTAAACATTTAACTCAACAAATAATAAATATAAACCTACTGACTGGGAATAACAAACGAATAATCAAAGTAACAACTCCGTTATATGACGTGTATCTGTTCATATGACTAACATGCTTCTGTATTTTTTCCTCCCGAAATGTACCGATATGCCAGTGGAGAACATACAATGACAAGGGTGAACGATGACATTGAAGTGGCAAGTGGTCAGGTAAGAGTAAGATCAGGAAATTCATTACACCTCCCCTAGGTAAATCCAACTTTCTTCAACAACCGTCTTAACACGCTTCTCATACTCGCGCCGGTTGTCTTGGTAAAGCTGGGCTGCTATGTTATTAGCTGGACTGTTTGGGTTGGGTTCGTCTAACAAAGACTGAAAAACAATCAATGGGACAAGACATCAGAAGGATAAAGAATGCGGCAGCAAAGATTTTAAGATCTACCAAAAGCTTCATCCTACCTCTTGTCGAGAAAATGCAAATATTCCTGATGTGATACAGGCTTTCCTTATTCACTGCAGCCAGTTACAGTATACTGTTCACTTCGGTACATACATACACAGCGGGAGACTTAAAATGCAATGGAAATGTTAACTGATACACTGACGTCGTCCGAGTGTGGTGAGGAGGAGAGATGGTGCCCGCCCCCAACAACACATCACAAATTGAGAACAAACGGCAAAAATAAGCCAGCGAGAGGGAAGAGGAGAGAACAGTTCCGAGAGCCAGCTGTCTGTCCTCAAATGCGATCACTGGTGACCGCTCCACCCCACCTACAGGCCGACCTGCCAGAAAATGTCCTACAAATGTATGTTGTTGTGGAACGGGATGCTAAGAGCAAGCCATCGCGTCCTCTTCATCTTCCTCCTCATCATTCCAGCTTTCCTGAACGATCGCTGACACTTTTTTCTCGTATTCCCGTCGGTTCTCTCGATACAACTGGGCAGCCTCATTGTTGGCTGGACTATTTGGATTCGGATCATGTAGCAGTGACTACAAGAGAGAAATTACAATGTCAAGTCATCAATTGCAAGATATTCTGCTGATGAGATGAACACATACAATGGTGTACACACAATTTGGTTCTACTTGGTGACATGCAGTCTGCATGATTTGGGTCCACTGAATCTGCAGTATTTACATCAACACAATAGACAGGAATGAGGTAATGGATGAAATTGGATAAATCTTAAATCTTTGCATGTTCTATAATGTGAAGAAAACAATGAAACACTAAACATGTTGTCTGTTAATCCAAATTTTGACTCCTCCACTGAGAGACAGGTAAGCATTCTATAATTACTCTATCTAGAAATGATGCTTTAATGAGTATCTAGCCTAACACTTATTCACAAGTAGTTTGCGGTATGTTTTTGTAAAGATAGGTGAATAGTTATCACCCATTCTGTTATGATAAAACACTAAACATCTTCAACAATAGTTTCATGTACAGAGAGATATCACCATCTCCATTTATTTTGATTTACTAAGAACTCTTGCTCATAACTTGAAATGAATAAGTCCTGCTTTGGTCTGTGCAAAATCAGGACATATTTTAAACATCCTAATGCTAATAGATGTTCGCAGTAATATTTGAAAAAAACAATTAAGGCAGTAGTTAATTTGAGTTTTAAAACAACTTGTTTAAATGATAGAACACCATTATTTGATTACATCTCATTAAAAACAAAGACTCAACATGAAGCTGGTATGACAGTTGGATCCAGTGCATCTGATCAGACAATGAATTATGAATAAAATCAGATGGGTTTTCCAATGATCAAACTTAGAAATCAGTTATCAATGGTTTAAGCATCTACAAATTCTTGTGATACATACTCATATAATAGCAACATTTCTTGATAGGTTGAATGCTACTGACTGTATTACAGTGGATAAAAGTGTATATGAAAAATTCTGAATAAGTTTTCAGTTAATTTAATTCAAACAAATTTGTCTTTTGTGAAGCAATTAAGGATTAACAGACTCTACAGCAGAAAATGATACCATTCTCTTAATTCTTTGATGTTAGTGCAATATACATATTCAAAGCAAATATAATATTCAGCTGGCATAACCATGATTACACAATTATCTATGCCTTTAACATAGTCCAAGAACTTGACTTTTTATATTATTCAAATGCACTTCTCACTGTCAACTACATATTTATCAACACAAAGCAAGGACAGACAGCAGGACAAACAATTTTTCTTTCAAGTTGACAGTGTTAGAATAATCTTCTTACCAGAAAAACAAACCATTTTAGAAATAAAATGAGTAATCTTACATGGGTATGGTCAAAATGGTATGAAGTTGCCTATGCACAAAACAAAATAAACCGATTTCAGGGTCATACTTGCTAAATAAGAGTGACAAAAAAGCATCATACTATTTGCATGTGTTAGTTCACCTTAAATTATTAATATTAATGTAAAAGAAAGATTGTCACTACATTATGCCTACCAGCTTAATTCAGCTATAGCACTATGTAGCACTGCCCGTGACATCCTAAATGTCACACTTACCTGTATTGACGTAAGTATAGCTGACACATCGTATGTAGGACTCCATCTATTCTGTAATATATCTAAACATATACTCCCATCAGCGTACACTGCAAAACAGGAAAAACATACAAAATATTTTTTAACATCATCATAATTAGACACTTCTTAAAGAGTTAAACTGAAATTTTAATGGGTAAAAATGGACTCAATATATTGGAAACAAATGGGTATTGGCTGTTTGCATGTAACATATAACAAATGACATTTCTATGTCTTATGTATTTGTATCTTTTCTAGTATTGTATGTGTTTTCAATGTAAATATGCAACTGTGTACAGCAAATTTCCTTCAGAATAATAAAGCATTTCTATGATCTATCTGTCTATCTATTCTGGTAAGAAATTGAACTGAAGTTTAGAGCTCCAAAGGCTGACTTTCATTAATCTAATACTGACATCCCATCTGAACACTTCAGTAGGCATACGTCTCTGATGATGTGCACTGTAACACAGTCCCAGAACCTAATCACCCAATCAGACCGACTTGCAACATATACTTATCCCTCGCCATAACATGGGTCTTCGGGTCCATGGGTGTCCCCCGCAGCGTTATAGTAACTTATACATGACATTGTAATAACTCCAAGTAAAATCGTATTTTCTATGGACATAACAGAACTGCTATTTCGTGTATTGTGCCCAGTCAGAGACAGTTTGACAAGTCACTGTTGACTTCCCGTAGTATGTGATACTTTGATTGTAAAAACAAATAGTTGGCAAGTAATTGTCAAATATGACTTCAATAAGTCAATACCGCGGGTCAAGGGGTCCATGAATGACGAGGCTGTAATCTGTTCGTGATTGCTGAGAATAATGGGACATCAGTGCTATCGCCGTAGGCGCGAAAAGCAGACCCTCATGAACATGATAAGCGGAAGTGGTACGCATATAGAATGAGGTAATGCCATTTCACACACGTTTTCTCCGATGTTACTGTAAACAGTTTGAATGAATGAAAATGAGATTGAATTTAATCAAATAAAATGAAGTCAAGGAAGATCGTTTCATTATGCATTTTCTGACATTACCCTCGCAATAACGAGGTGTGTTGCATCACAGAAAACATCGTAAGTACTCGGCTGATGGCATGTCTTTATGACAAAGTTGTCTCTAATAAGTTATTACGATGTTCAAGAAAACCCTGAATGTTTTTAAGCATCTGAAAAACCATGGATATGTACGATAAACACTGTTAACTGCAACCCGCACTGAATTTCACTAGTTTACTACGTGATTAACCTGAGCTCAACAGCGGATTTGTTGATATGCTATTTTCGATGATGTGAAGATGTGTGATCGCTGGGCAACTTTTTTTAAAATGGGAGCCATGGATTACCCCGCGGTTTATCCGAATCCGCATTATCAGCGAGGGATGACTGTACCAACTTGGGTTCCCAAAGCCTAAAAAGTTGATTAAGCATGGTGAAAGAGTACAATTATTGCCTGTACACACCATTAGGGTGGAACATCTTTGACACAAATCGGACTGTGGGAGGTTTGTTTGGATACTCCTCTGTGAATTCTATTGTTAACTTGAAAGTACCATCTTCAAAAGGGGTGTCGTGAGGCCTGGAAAGGAACGAGAAGAAACAGTTATAACACTCAGTATGAAAATAATGACTTAACGGTTCTTAGTAGCAAATGTATTTCCCTGCTATTAATTCTCTTGGCATAACTATTGACAATATTTCAAGGATTTATTTAGGGTTCCAAACAAGGAAATTTGGAACACATAATATTTGTTGCAACAGGGATTTTTCCTGAAGTTCTCTATTTCATGGTATTTTAACTTAAAACATATCTTTTTCTCCATTACCAGCAAAACATATTTTGGACCAAGCAATCACATTAGTGACCACAACTATAGGAAAATAATTTGGGAAATATATGATGCCTTTCAACATGTTCAAAATCGTAACTGAAATTGACGCAAATTTTGGACTGCTTTCAGCTGCTGAGTATACCTACACAATTTCATGTAATGATATCTACTGTATCATAGTGTATGATTTCCAGTCATAATACAAAATTACAAGTCCATTTGGGATAATTAGTAGCACACAATGTATCAATGAATTCATCACCAGGGTTTACTTAAAACATTACAAATGAATATAAATTAATACCATAATATTAATCAAACAATATAATGAAAAATATATTATCAATGATATGAAGAAGACCAAAAACATTCTGTCGTTCTAGGTCAAAAGCTATATCAATAAATGTCTCATCATGCTCATACTAGTCATTGTAATGATTAATCTTGAGTCCTGAAGCGATTTCCAACACTAACAAATATAAATACGCTTAGCTGCTACACTTACTGAATAAAACAGATGCAAACCTCTGGTTAACAAAGAACTCACATCATGCTTCACCATGTATATGAAAAAAGCTATTGTTGCTTACATAATTAGAAAATACAGTTCACTGTACCCCAATGTATAGTGTAAATAAAGTACATGTACAATTATAGTTAAAGCATGAAGATGCTTTTCTAACATGACAAATTTAATACTGAGATGAATAATCTAAAGCTGAGAACAGAGAGCAAACAAAACAATGTTGTCGGTGACCTAAATTAAAGATCCTCATTCACGGTTACACAACAAGCTGTTCCATTGATATGTCTTAGCCAAACATAAAGACACATATTACCAATAATGCAAATGAAAAAGTTTGAAAATGGTTTACATTCAGGTTAAAAATAATTTTAATGATATATCTAATCATTGTAAACCACCTTGGACAATATGATCACCGTGCAGTTCTACAACAAATAAAGCGAAGTTGAAGTATGTAAGTGATGACTGTCCCTGATATAATGCCAATCAACAATTTTTCACAAAAAAATATGAGTTTAACAGGATTTTGTGTATTTAACACCATTTGCAACAAAACAGTTTTAAAATTCAAGGGAGTTATGAAGATATCTTGTGAGAATAAGCACAACCATATACATAATGCCAGGTAGTGATTTTTCCATGTAGACTTTAGCAAGATGGAGCAACTTCAAGAGACTGAATGATAACAGGAATACATAGTATACATACATCTTACTGACTAGTCACTCAAGCTTAATAACATTGAAATCTTCATTGAAACATTCCTAAATGCAATAAAGCAGAAGCTGTTTTCTGTCACGTATTTCTTATTTACTCACAAATGTCTAGAATTCCAATCAAACAATTATGATATAATGTTCCAGTATCTGTTTCTATCTTTTATAATAGTTTTAACTGAGGGTCATCATGGCCATTTTTTTACACTGCTAAATAAACCTAAATAACATGTTTTGATAAGCCATAGTCACGATATTTGACACAACCTATTCCTTAAGTCCCAGTTAGTTCTAACATATCCATTGCATTGTAAGAGAAACTACTTCATTTTTTCACTGTGACAGGTTTCAGTTGGCAGAATGTTTGTTTTGATTTGCATTTGATAAATCTATGGCAGGGCTGAAATGAACATTTTTGCTTGAGGTTGGTTTTGAGGATGCTTGAGACTTGTTTCTGTATCTACCAAATTATTTTAATTTTGAATAACTCTCCATTGTCCTCTTGACTTGCAAAAGAACTGTTAAGACACCTAGGTTTTTTTAAGGCTACGCAAAATCCTGCATCAAACATGACAAAATGTTGTAAATAATTAAAATTTAGTGTCTTGTTTATTGTTTATGTGTAACAATCCCATGCAACAATGTTTATTAAAAAAACAGTTGATCATATATTTTCAGTTTCACACAAGGTGTTGATTCAACCATCTTCATCCATTCAGAAAATGAGAGACTAACAGCTGGGCATCATTGACCATCCTAATTGGTATATATTCTAGCTAATCCAGTCTTAACTAAAAAACATATAAAAATGGTATGAAAAAGCCAGCAATTTAACTAATTATGGAAAATTTTAGAAGCATAAAATCTAAAGGACTTGCTGACACTAAAATCGAAAAAGGATTCCAAAGAGAAATAGATTCTGTACAAAAACAACAACCCAAAACAACTTGTGCTTGCACATGAATACAATTTTCACCTAAAAATGTGAATAATTCAGTATGAATAAGAAATAATGTGATATTTCATCAAAATGATAGAAAGAAAGTTCATTGTATGTCAACATGTACCTTATGTTATGAATGTAAACACACAAGGAAGTCAGGAAATATTTTCAGTACAAAGGCTTATAAATCCATAACATTGAACAGGTAGAAGTCATTGTGCCTCTGACATATAATTACACTGTTATAATAACAACACAAAATACATAAATGTAACCACAAATACAATTCAATATTCAAATCAATAGAGGCGTGAATATAGATATTATGTTTCGACTTCAGATAGCTTTGTCATTGATAATGTCTTACCCAAATATAACAGCATTCCAAAGCATAATATTGTTATCTGTAGGAGCACCACTAACACCAGCCGGGGGATCCTCTTGTAATCTGGAATGCAATAAATTGCTCCAAATAACATATTATGACAATTTTAAAATGACATGAAGATACGTGTCTTAGATGTATAAATATGCAGCATCAGTCTTGACTAAGGTTGTTACGTAGCGGCCATTTTGGAATATTTACATTCAGATTTTGTCGCTAAAAGGTCTAAGATATAAACAAACCTTTTGAAATCGCGCATTAGTCTTCTTCTGGCTGGAGTAGACATGTCAGTGGTGTGATCAAAGCTATTTACACTGTTCGATTAATATATGTCTTGATTTCTATGTATTGACAACAGCGATCTCACGACCACTGACGTCTACATCCGGGTTTCAGCTCTTTCTGATAGTATTACTGGCACAACTAATATTATTAGACACACTTTTGTAAGCATTCTTTCCACAAATACACCTTAATCTTTGTACATATTACATCTTTGCATTATTTAATATATCTAAGTTTCTATGTACGAAATATTTTTTAACCAACCACTAGATCAGAAAAGGGTGTTTTTACGAATAGTGTTATATGTAGTTAGTTGTAATACTAGTCGTTTCATTTCCATGACATCATGTGCTTATAAAAATAGATATATTGCGAACCCACAAACAATAGCGATGTATAAGAGCCACCTATACATTTGAAACCATCCCTGTCTGCTATTTTAAGCACTTCGTAGTGTCATCAACGGTTATCACGTGTCAAATATACGAAAGTAAAATGTGTTTTTATAAGATTACATAGCCTACACTATAGATTCTATTGTGTTGGGGTTTTGCAACTACAAATTAGATCTAGATAGTTTTATTAACAAATAACGAACGAGAAGAGACTAACCATGGATGCTTAAAGGAAAAAAAAGACATTTGAAATTATATACCAAAATACAAGTTGAACAACTTTAGTGTCATTTACACTTCTCCATAAATACTTTTGTCCTTTCACTCTCTGGTGGGTATATATATTCTGTGGGGCCAGATATATTTTGTTAATATAATTTGATTAATAGACGCAAATAAGTTCATATAGTTACACAAGATAGATAACGAAAACATACAATTCGAAATGTTTATTCCATTTAACAATATTTTTGCACCATGGTGTTGCACCATATAATAATGATGAAATGTAATTTCTTTATCAAACTTGTCCAAGCTTAATTTTAATCACAGTGGCGTACGTTATTTATCCTGTCATATTTTTACACCATTGGAGTGTATATAACACTTTCTTTGCTCGTTAACGTAATCACATGTGTAATTGTGAAATGAAAACTTTTAAACAAAACGAACATCTGTGATTCTGTGCATTTTATAGTAAGTTATTTATAGCCAGTCTTTGAAGTGGACTGATGTGTCATAAATTTTATTGTCACAACGTAGCCTGAAAGGCCCTGTTACATCACAGGCAGGAGGGGGTTTGGGGTGGGATATCGGAAGTTCTCGACACCTGTACAATATAGCAATATACAATGAATAATGCATTCTGCTGTACGAGATATAACTATTCGCATGCATCATGCATATGTCGGGAGAGGGATATTGGTATATCCGTGTGGGGTTGGATGCATAGCAAATCGATCTTGCGGCATTTTAATGGTTATTTTGTATTTACTTATTCTGGCAACATGTAAATAATGTATTACCATAAACATTAGTTATTGAAATGGAAGTTCAGTTCTATGGAGTGAATTGATAATATTAATTAACTCCAAGATTGGAGTCAACTCTAAATGTCTAACAGTAAACTGAATCATTGATATTAATACATTTATCTTTATTATGTATCAATAAATGCTTGTATATTTAATTGTTTCCGACTGCGTGGGTGCAGCGCATTTGAGTTTCTGTTGTGAAAAGTGCTATTTATGATACTTTAGAACTGAGTGAATCCCCTTCGACAAACAAATACAAAGTTACGTGGACGATGAGTGGGTATGGTTTTACGTCGCTTTTATCATTGTTCCAGCAATATCGCGGTAGCGGACACCAGAAATAGGCTCAACGTATTGATCCTATGTGCATAGGGAATCGAACTCGGGTCTTCGGCGTGCGAGCGTACACTTTAACCACCAAATTACCTCGCCGCCCCATACGTGGACAGAATCACTATAGCTTGGTGCGAGCTATCTTGTGAGGTGTTACCAGAACATCAAATGATGGTTTTCTGCCCCTCAGTATGATCTGACGGCTGTTCCCGGTTAGTACACATATGTGCAATATTTAATCACTGATAAATGTTTGAAAACACGGCATAGCGTCTTCACCGACCTTCTGGTCAGATACCTGTTTGTAAACACGGCATAACGTCTTCACTGACCCACTGTTCGGATGCCTGTTTGTAACCACGACAATAAGGTCTTCACCGACCCACTGTTCAGATACCTGTTTGTAAACACGCCATAACGTCTTCACCGACCCACTGTTCAGATGCCTGTTTGTAAACACGGCATAACCTTTTCACTGACCCACCGTTCAGATGCCTGTTTGTAAACACGCCATAACGTCTTCACTGACCCACTGTTCAGATGCCTATTTGTAAACATGGCATAGCGTCTTCACCGATCTCCTGTTCAGATACCTGTTTGTAAACATGGCATAACGTCTTCACTGGCCTTCTGTTCAGATGCCTGTTTGTAAACACAACATAACGTCTCCACTGTCCTATTCAGATAGCTGTTTGTAATAGCGACATAACATCTTCACCGACCTACTATTCAGAAACATGTTTGTTAACACAGTCGTAATGTCTTCACTGCCCTACTGTTCAGATGCCTGTTTGTAAACACGGCTATAACGTCTTCACTGACGTACTGTTAAGATACCTGTTTGCAAACACAACATTACGTCTTCACCGACTGCGACCCACTGTTCAGATACCCGTTTTATCACCAGCCCACTGTTCAGATGCCTGTTTGTAACCACGACAATAAGGTCTCCACCGACTCACTGGTCAGACTCCTGTTTTTAAACACGACATAAAGTCTTCAGTGACCAACTGTTCAGATCCCTATTTGTAACCACGGCTATAACGTCTTCACCGGCCCGCTGTTCAGATGCCTGTCTGTAATCACGACTACGTCTTCAGCGACTGCGACCCACTGTTCAGATACCTGTTTCATCACCAGCCCACTGTTCAGATACCTGTTTGTAAACACGGCTATAACGTCTTCACCGACCCACTGTTCAGATGCCTGTTTGTAACCACGACAATAAGGTCTTCACTGACCCACTGTTCAGATGCCTGTTTGTAACCACCACAATAAGGTCTTCACCGACCTACTGTTCAGATACCTGTTTGTAACCACGGTATAACGTCTTCACCGACCTACTGTTCAGACACCTGTTTGTAACCACCACAATAAGGTCTTCACCGACCCACTGTTCAGATGCCTGTTTGTAACCACCACAATAAGGTCTTCACCGACCTACTGTTCAGATACCTGTTTGTAACCACGGTATAACGTCTTCACCGACCTACTGTTCAGACACCTGTTTGTAACCACCACAATAAGGTCTTCACCGACCTACTGTTCAGATGCCTGTTTGTAACCACCACAATAAGGTCTTCACCGACCTACTGTTCAGATGCCTGTTTGTAACCACCACAATAAGGTCTTCACCGACCTACTGTTCAGACACCTGTTTGTAACCAATACAATAAGGTCTTCACCGACCTACTGTTCAGACACCTGTTTGTAACCACCACAATAACGTCTTCACCGACCTACTGTTCAGATGCCTGTTTGTAACCACCACAATAAGGTCTTCACCGACCCACTGTTCAGATGCCTGTTTGTAACCACCACAATAAGGTCTTCACCGACCCACTGTTCAGATGCCTGTTTGTAACCACGGCTATAACGTCTTCACCGACTCACTGGTCAGATGCCTGTTTGTAACCACGACAATAAGGTCTTCACCGACCCACTGGTCAGATGCCTGTTTGTAACCACGGTATAACGTCTTCACCGACCTACTGTTCAGACACCTGTTTGTAACCACCACAATAAGGTCTTCACCGACCTACTGTTCAGATGCCTGTTTGTAACCACCACAATAAGGTCTTTACCGACCTACTGTTCAGATGCCTGTTTGTAACCACCACAATAAGGTCTTCACCGACCTACTGTTCAGATGCCTGTTTGTAACCACTACAATAAGGTCTTCACCGACCTACTGTTCAGACACCTGTTTGTAACCACCACAATAACGTCTTCACCGACCTACTGTTCAGATGCCTGTTTGTAACCACCACAATAAGGTCTTCACCGACCCACTGTTCAGATGCCTGTTTGTAACCACCACAATAAGGTCTTCACCGACCCACTGTTCAGATGCCTGTTTGTAACCACGGCTATAACGTCTTCACCGACTCACTGGTCAGATGCCTGTTTGTAACCACGACAATAAGGTCTTCACCGACCCACTGGTCAGATGCCTGTTTGTAACCACCACAATAAGGTCTTCACCGACCTACTGTTCAGATACCTGTTTGTAACCACGGTATAACGTCTTCACCGACCTACTGTTCAGACACCTGTTTGTAACCACCACAATAAGGTCTTCACCGACCTACTGTTCAGATGCCTGTTTGTAACCACCACAATAAGGTCTTCACCGACCTACTGTTCAGATGCCTGTTTGTAACCACCACAATAAGGTCTTCACCGACCTACTGTTCAGACACCTGTTTGTAACCAATACAATAAGGTCTTCACCGACCTACTGTTCAGACACCTGTTTGTAACCACCACAATAACGTCTTCACCGACCTACTGTTCAGATGCCTGTTTGTAACCACCACAATAAGGTCTTCACCGACCCACTGTTCAGATGCCTGTTGGTAACCACCACAATAAGGTCTTCACCGACCCACTGTTCAGATGCCTGTTTGTAACCACGGCTATAAGGTCTTCACCGACCCACTGGTCAGATGCCTGTTTGTAACCACGACAATAAGGTCTTCACCGACCCACTGTTCAGATGCCTGTTTGTAACCACGACAATAAGGTATTCACCGACCCACTGGTCAGATGCCTGTTTGTAAACACGCCATAACGTCTTCACCGACCCACTTCAGATACCTGTTTGTAACCACGGCTATAACGTCTTCACCGACCCACTGTTCAGATGCCTGTTTGTAACCACCACAATAAGGTCTTCACCGACCTACTGTTCAGATGCCTGTTTGTAACCACCACAATAAGGTCTTCACCGACCACTGTTCAGATGCCTGTTTGTAACCACGGCATAACGTCTTCACCGACCTACTGTTCAGATGCCTGTTTGTAACCACCACAATAAGGTCTTCACCGACCTACTGTTCAGATGCCTG